TAAAGACCCACAGGATAATAGAAAATTCTTTGTTCACCCAGGGAAAGATTTACAACTTCCTCAGCCAGTTGAGAACACAACATTATTATATTGTCAAATTTTAGTAATTTTGCACTGATGCGTAGGAAATCAACTGCAAATCACCAGATAGCCTGATAAATTCATTTGGGCCCAGATCCACTAAATGACTTGGAACATTTTTAGACACCCTGAGTATAAAATTGCAGTTCTCAAGGCTCCTGTTTAGCTCCCCTCTCACGCTGGCAGTGAGTCAAAGCAGTAAGTGCCTATGATTTTGCTAATGTTCATACTGCTTCTCACATGCTCAGAAGCACCTTACCTTTGACAGATCCAAGTCTCTGTCTCATGCCCAAACCCCATCATTATCCACAAATCAGATATCTTGTCTGCCTCTGTGGCCTTTGGGGCTTGTTCCAGTTAATTTTCTCTAGGCAGGGGTTGCGTGTTGCACAAAAGCTGGCGGCAAGAGGTATTTTATTTCAAGCCGCAGCTTCCATGGATGACAGTGTGGGGACTGGCAATATCTGCTGCCCAGCTAGTGAGCTGGCGGTCAGAGCATGCTTCCAGGCTGTGGGGGGCCCCAGCCCTGTGCCTTCTCTGCCTGGCACACTGGGACTGTTCTCTATGGCCAGAAGGAGTGAGGGAAATTGGGCTCACTGTTCAATCTCTTGTAGCTTGCAGGGAGGACACTCACTTCCATGTGTCAACCTGGATTTTGGTCCCAAGGACTGAAGGACTTCCAACAACTTCTCATACTATTTTAGCCAGAGACTGTTTCATAAAAATAGTATTTGCACGTACCTCCAGTGTTGTCCTTGGTCCTCAATCTATCCCGAATTAGCTTCCAGCATTGCTCATTCTCTTCTGGTCAAATACATCTGTTTTCATACAAATCAGAATGAAGGTGAAGGAGAGTCCTTTGTCCCCCCGTCTGAGAGGTGGTTATGTTCTGGGAAGTGTGGGTCTGAATCTCCTCCTACCCCCAGGTTTCCAGCTCTCTGGGTGAATGCTCTAACGAGGGAGTCTAGGATAAAAGGGGACAACTGGGTATCTATGTGGTCGTGTTTAATTGCTGCCAGTCCTGGGTGGACAGAGGTCATTCCCAACTTTAGTAAAGCCAGACAAGTGTCAGATTTAGGATATGCCTTCCTTCAGTTGTTGTGAGCTGTTGGGTGGATGCCTTTTTCAGGTGACTGCGTTGTACAGGGAGAACAGGGTTCAACCACAGAGCTGTAAATTTCATTGCATGAAAAAGATGCTGAAAAGTTAGGAAACAGACTGCTCAAATGTCAGCAATGAATCCTTCTGTGTATCTAAGCCTTTGTAACATGGTGAAACAAAATAAAGAACAATCTGAGGTAGCACATTTCAGCATGTTAATGTGTATCACCCTGGGTCAGACCCTTGGTTAGTAGAGACTGATGAAACTCCTTTGTTTTCAGCGTAGTAGTGAAAAACAATTTAGGGCATTGTTGGATGGGGTTCTGGCCCACAAAGTTTGTCAGTAATGAAATCCCAGATGTCAGGTATCCCCATTGCTTATGGAGTCTTGGCTGAGAAAGGGCTGGCGGCTCATTTCTGAGAGAAAATAGTAAGTTTGTAGGTGAGTGAGCTAAAAGGTAGCACAGAGAGTAAACACCAGCAAACCAGAAAACACAGCCCAACGGGAGCTCTGTACTTCTTCTCACAGCACATTTGGTGGTAAGGCTTTTAACCATTTCAAAACTCTAAATGTGGGTGTCCCAGATTTCATGTGAAATAGGAAGAACTATAAACAGAAGGGCGGTGCAAAAATCCATAATTGTGCCTCTGTAGGACTTCACAGAGTAGGACAGAACAATATCCTCTAGCACAGGATAGGGACTATAATGGGCAAACCTCACTTTCCAGGAAGCCACCTTCACCCTCCCTCCGTCAGGATGACAGACTCACTCAGTAATGTCTGTTTGACATTTACTGTCTTAGATCCCACCTTTCTGCCTCTGTGACAGAAAATGTATGATGTGGTAGCAGACTCGCATTAATGCAGCTCTCAAGTCCAAACAGAGCCTGATGTCTTCTTCTGTAAAAGAAGGTTATAATTTTTGTTACCTACCCCTTAATTTTCAACCCCGTATCACTTTTCCCCTAATTCTGTTGTATCAGCTATTATACAGATTAGCTGATTTGCATTCTCTGCCAAGCTAAACTGAAAAGATTCAGGTCTGCAGGTCACATTTATTAGCAGAAGCAGTACTCCCAAGATGTGTGTTTGCTTGATTTTTCATCTTTAAATAGACAGGACTGCCAAAAGATTAAACATACTTGTCTAAGACGAAGTGAGGAGTCAGTAAAGGCATTGATGAAATAGCAGTGATTTCAAAATAGTTTGTCATGTATTGATTTTTAACCACTGGAGAGGAAAACAGTGATATTTCTGATGAAGTTTTGTGAAGAAATATTTACTATTTGCCAAACAAATCCCTATTTAGCTTTCTGTGCTAACCTAATCCCTAGGCTTCCAGTGTCTGAGAATTAAGCACTTCCAAGAGTTTTAGTTTTCCCTAAACAGCAACGTTGGTAGGTAAAAAGGGCAGTTTCTAGTTAGAGGAAGCAGGCCTGGGTCAGGTCTGGACTTGCAGAGATTCCAGCTTAGCCCTAGGGCTTGTGATCCTGGGTCTTGTCTTTCTCTGCCCCAGGTTCCCGACCCACCTCTGTGTCAGGAGCCAGCAGGAGGGGTAATTTGTAGCCGAAGGGGGGATCACAGCTGGGCATGACCGAGCTGCAGAAAAGCAGAAAGCAGGCAGGATGTGAGGAGAAGTGTTTCTTCCCTGTGAGATCAAAGCAGTCATCTAGGATATCCTTCAGCCAAAAAGACCATCTTGGAGGTATTGTCCATTTTAGCAGCAGTAGGTATACATATACACACTATATATAACAAGAGGGTCTTTCAGAAGTCTTATATGCTAATAAAGTGGATATCTGTATTACTGAGGAAACGGTATGCTTTCATACCACATGAAGTTTAAGAAACAATAAACTAAAATTCTTGAAACAGTTTTCTAAGATGGAAGGAATTTGCATAATGTGGAAGTTCTACTGGCTGCATTCTCACTATAACGATGTTATTCCTCAGCAATAACAGGATGACCACAGATGAAAAGCAGCTACCCCTTTAGGTAAACTATGCTGTCGGGTTAAAACTATTGGCCTTGATCTGGTGCTAGACATATAGCAAAATCAGTACAAAATCAGCAAAAGCAATACAACTGGAGTATGTGGTGGTGTTGGGGGGCAGTGTGCAGGTTGAACCGTTTGAACTGCCTTTGGGAAGTCTTGTGCACAGTCACTCTGAATCCACTTGCAGAGTATTAGAGTGCTAAGCCATAATGCTGGCACCAGGGGACAACTCCGATCCCTTTCTCTCCTCCTGCACAGCTCAGAAAGGGCAATCCCCAGGGTGGCCAGAAGCTGAGCGTGTTCCCATGTCCCTGCTGCCCTGGGCACTGGCTGGAACCCGCTTGTGGGCAGCATGAGCCCAGGGGCATCGACAGGTCCTTTATAAATAGTAGGCAGCTCACAGTTGGGATGATACATGAGGCAGTTCCCATCCTGGGACAACTCTAGGGGCCAACCTCTCGGTTTACTGTGGTCTAAATTTGTAGAAAGCAGTGCGTGACAGAGACTCAGTGGAAAGGGAACGTGACCTCAGACATTCAGGCTGAAATTTTGGAATACTCTACAATTAACTTCCTAGTACCTCCTTTCAGTCTAAAAGAATTACCACCAAGCAAAGTGTGAAGACATCAAAAGACTTTAGTTTGTTTTAGTATGTAAGAATAATCTGTCAGAGAAACCTTGTTCAGGTTTATTGAAGACATCTTCATGCCACAGTGGATTTTCTGGAAACAAATTCCCATCCCCTCAGAAACTCCAAACAAACAACCAAAACCCCAAATACTCTTGAAATCCTAGCAAAATCCCAGTGGGAGAAAAGCTTGCTTACCACAACTTTACCAAAATAAGACATATTTTAGTGCAAATTGCAGATGTTTCCACAAGGTGATCCAGTTAGTCCAGCTCAGTTTCTGACTAAGTGAAGGGCATCTTTACTCCTGAAATGTGCAAGTCTGAAGCTAAAGACAATCAAATACCAACTGCTCTAACATATAAAAGATAGAAAACAACACAGTTCCTGTGGCAGACGTGTGCAGACTGGGCAGATAGTTTCTGATATGCTGAAGGAAGATTACTCCAATATTTTCATCAAAAATATTATGAACCCATTATGAAGTGGAAAATTTTATGTTAGCTGTGGCTTGTGAAAAGGAATTTAAAGATGTTTGCCTTTGGAAAAAGAAGTTCTGTTCATTGTCTTGCAGTTTGCAAATGGATCGTCTTTATAAATCAACATTAAGATCCCGTGAGTGTATTCTTTGCCACTGAATTTCAGATCTGTCTTCTGATAAAAGGAAAGTGCTGTAGGAAAAGAAAAAAATTGTCAGGTACCTCATGCTGAGCTTGCACAACAGTTTCCTTGTTATTTGATAGAAGGTGAAATAAAGAAATGAATCCTGAAATGTGTTTGTTCACATAAAATGCCACTGGTGTACGCTTGACAGGGGTTGCTCCTTTTGGTTATAATGAAATCCAGGTGCAATAATACATGTGTGTGTACTGGGCTTCCTGTGGATAAAATGGTATGTTAGATTTGGTATGAAAAGGAATCTTGGTTTGTGACAACAATGATGGCCGTGCTTCCCATGGCTTTACTATGGGCAGGTTTTCTCTCCTGGGCTCCTTGTATAACAAACACTCATAGAGAAATTCACCAGGAAACGTTAGTTCCTTGTACTGACAAACAAATAAGGTGCCTCATTATATCATTTTAATCAAAGGTAACTACAACATTTTAAAAAAAATCAGTACTAGTTATTGCTTGTATTAATATATAATGTGAATTTGCTTTTACTTGACCTTTGTGTAATATTTATCCCCAGATCTGCCATTGGGAAGCTGGGGGCAGAGGTATTTGAGGCTGTGTACAGCTATCTCAAGCAAGCAAGACAGCAGAATGCCAGTGAGGAGGAGATCAGGAGATGTCTGGAGAAACTGGTTTCTAGAGCAAGTGATTGTTTTGAAGTGGACCAGCTTCTGTACTTTGAGGAGCAGCTACAGGCTTCAGAAGCACATCTCCAGCTGTAAAACATGCATCAGTAAGAGGACTGGAAATAGCAAGGAGGAGTGAAGGTGCTGAGCTGCCTTCTTCAGGCCAGTGGGCAAGTACAGCAGGTATTTGGAGGAAACTACTCAAGGTAATACAGTACGTAGCCATGTGAGTAAATTCCATTTAAGATTCCAGACCACAGTGAGAAGTTGGTAGATACGGTACAGATTACAGGGCCAGGAAGAACAACAATTGTTTGTGAGAGTGAAGGGGAGGAGTCACTGTTACCAGCATCCCTTTTTCACCACTTTGGGCATAAAGAAAGTTGTTGTCCTTGGCCAGGCATCAGTCCTGCACTCAGAGCATCACTGGGAAAGCTACCTCTGATGGAAATGGTGCCAGATTAGACTCCAGTTGCTGTTGATTCCTATGCTATCTGGTCCTCATGACATTTAAGCCCTTATTTTTTTTTACTTTGGCAGGTTTACCCTTACACATACATGTATATGTTTGGCTTCTCAGCCACTAATTGGCTGTTATTATTCAATGTTCAAAAGGACTGTATTCAATCTGTGTGACTTTCAAAGGAACTGTGGAAATACATGCCTGTGTGTATATTTTTATATACATGTATGCATGCTCACATACCCAGAAATAGGTATGTGTATGCATAGAGCCAGAAAGCTGTCTGGCCATACACCATACACGTGCGTGTACAGAGACAGGGCTGTCTCTATGCATAGAGAGATCATAGCTATGATTCTGTCTCAGGCCTGAGCTATAGCTGACTGTTAGCTGGGAATCCTTACTGGGACTTCTGAGACTTTTGGATCAAATTCATTGTACACAGATGCAACAATAAACTGGGGGTTTTTTGCTTGCACATGGTTACCGTTAATGTTTTTTCTTAGTGTTCGTGCTCCCTTCTTCATACGCATCACACTTTTGCTGATTTCAACTGCATATCATGCTCTGATTATATACCTGATGTTTTCCTTCTACCTCTTCCTTCTTTATTCTGCATTCTGAGGTCCTTCACCCATCTGTGTAAAACATGAAAGGATAACAAAGTGGTACAATCTATAGAGGAATCTCAAATGAATTATGGACCAAATTAATTTTAAGCATCAAGTCATTATCATAGTCCTTATGTTTCTTGCTTTTGTGCCACAGCTCTTAGAGGAGTCAGGGACTGAATTAAATAAATCAAATTCATAATATGAACGTAAAAAAACTTTGCTATTTGACCTGAGATGAGTTATTTACAGCTAAGGATCCTGGTATTGATAATAAATGAAGCAGTACTACTGATCTGTCTTTGTGACATGCTTGAAAGGTAAGGAGAGTCATCTTAATCTATCTCAGCAGCAACACAAACTGAGGAAGCAAAGGACATGCCCAGCTACAAAAGATGTGGCATTATACTTCCAACTCAAAGTGGTAGAAGAATCTGGCATGTCTGATTGCAGCTTGCATTTGGAATACAGAGTGTTGGAAGCTGGAGGCTAAAATCCGCTCTGATGTTCACTGAGGTAGGGAAACATTTTTTTCTTCTGTGTGGTGGTTCAGATCCCATAGGTGGAGAGGCAGTTTGAAGCACAGATTCTCAGTCAGGTTTTAGTCTCTTCCCCGTTATTTCTTCTTGTACTTACACACCCAATCCTTCTTAATGTTGTGTCTGTGTACTTGCTTCTGTATTTTTGCACATGACTTCATTTAAGACCATTTAAAGACAGAAGTGCCGAAGTCTGAGATAACGGAGGAGTTGTTGGATGTTGCAGGGACTAAAAATTTGACAAAGCAAACAATGAATAACTAACACATGGTGAGAATCATGTCAGAGGGTGATAATCTTGACTACTGCACTTACTTCTGGCTGTGATTCAGAGTAATTTATCACAAAAACTTCATAAACAGCCTCTATAACAATCAACTTCCTTCTTAGTAATGAGGAACACCTCATCAGACTTTCTTCCTGAAGCATGCAAGAAAAATAGAGCTGCATAGGAATGGGTCAAGCTCTCTAAGGCATTCAAACCCTAGGGAGATCATTAAACAGCAACCTTTAAAGCCTGGAAAACATGGATTAGCCATACAGATTACCCTCGGGGAAATGGTTGCTCTCTGAGGAACTGTACTTTTGCTTGTTGCACATGAAAAAGAAATTCCAGTGCCTTCTACAGTTACTTCAGTTGCTTTCTTCTCTCTGCAGGATATGAACCTCAAGCCATACAAGGGAGGTTACCACTTTTTCTGGTTATATGCTTTAAACTACGCTTTGGTTATGTGTTTTCCATCAATCATACCACAACTAGGCAATGTGGTATACATGTTAAACTCATCAGGAAACTTTTTGTCTTTGAACTGTAGTAAAAGCACAGAGATAAATCCCATGGATTTAACAGAAATTCTTACATCACTGTTTCTGTTGAGGGGTCACTTCAGAAAAGCGGTAGGTTGGATTACGTGCCTTTCTCTCTACTTTCATTTTCCAATAAAACCCTACTTTTTTCAAATCTCATCCCTTCCAAAATTCCCAGCAAATTGTTAGGTTTGAAATTGCATCGTCCAGACCAGGACCAGGTCTTATTTTAGAGACAAAGAGATCTATCCCCACCGGGACATGATAAAATGCAATGAATTTGTCTTCTGTCATTCTGCTTTCTGTACCCCAGGGGAGGATACGCATCAGGAGTTCAACTCCATTTTGCAGCTTGTTAAAACCTCTTTCATAGGTTCCAAAAAGCTGGCGTTTGTTTTGTTTTTACAGGTGTTTAAAGGTCTCCAGGTATCCTCCTGCACTTCTGCAGCTGCACAGTAAGTAGCCTTCAGTGGGGATTTTCTGTGCTGTCCCCAGACTTGCAGGGACAGGCAAGTGGGGATAGAGAAGAAAGTTACGCGGTCTTTTTCCAGGCAGTTGCCATTATTTTTTTTGTTTTCCAGCATATAACAACTAAATATTCCCACCATGTTGGTATTATCTTGATAATGTATAGCCTACGCTGTTCTTATTTTGTGTGATATTGTTATCATAAACCTTTGCTGCATTATGCATGTGTGCACACTCACAAATCTCCTCTCAGTTTTTCTCTTGGGGTCGCCACCAGCTAAAAATTTTAAGAGCCTCCACTGATCCTGACTATTTCAAACTAAATAGATTACTGAAGATTTTATGAAACCGTATATAGGCACATGAATCACAACTCGTGACAGAGAACAGCTTATGCCCCCTGGGGTAGAGGGGCTGCTGCCGTCGTGCCAGAGACACTGTCTCTGCTGAGCTCAGTGAAGCTGCGTTTGGTGCCGCGGTGTGAGTATTGAAGGCAACTGTGTTTATCAAGATGCCACACTGATAATCTCTATATATGGTTATCAGATTAATTATCTTTCTGTAATCAAGTTTAGTATAAAAAGAAAGTAGTAAATTTTGAATTAACAGAAAAGGTACGATACCGAATCCTTAGAGATCAGTAAGTCTTTAGAAATGCAAAAATTCTGAAGAAAGCAGGAGATGACAAAAGAGTCATTGTAACATAAAGTCCATTAAGCAATTGTTGAATCCAGTCAGGCTATTAACAGGCCTTACTCTTCCACAAACATGTCGACCTACAGAGAGAAGTGCAGAGTCCTTTTCTAACCTAATAAAGCCTTGATGGAAGGAGAGGAACAGAGCAAATTCATTACGTTGTCTATTAGACAAATGGTATGAATTGCCATAAAAGAAAAAAAAATCTCAAAAGATCAGATCTTGTATAACATAAATTTTATTTTTCAGATCTATTCTGCTTGCTGAGGAAAAAGGACTTAAAATGAAGAAAAGTCTGAGACCCTGTCTTTTATATATGAAATACAAGCAGGTTCATTTCCAGCAAAATCCCAGCGCTGGTGGTCATTAGTAGAAATCTAAAAGGAAAGAGGAGGATTGTCAGTATCATGGATCTTCAGCAATAAAATAGCAACAGAGCTGCTGGAAGTAAATGTGAGGAAATAAATGTAAAGACATTAGATTGCTGTGGATAAGGCTTCATAAAAGGTCCCATTTGACTTACATATTTGTACCGAAAACCTTCACAAGCATCAGACAGACGTGCTGCTTTTTTATTGACTCTCCTAAAAGTGCTAGAAGCTGTATTATTTGATGCAGAGATACTGCAAGCAGAGGAAGTGAGGTGAGTAATTATTTAATGCTTTGGGGCCTTGAACTTGGTAAAAAGGTGCTTGAACTATAAAGGGAAAAAGAACATTTCAATTTTTGATAAGAACTGTCAATGTCTCGTCCACAGCTGGATTAGGAGGCAGACCAATTTGATTTGTCACAGCAGACAAGATGTAAATCCTTATTTACAGATAATTTGCCATGTTACCTCTTCAGACAGGTTTCAGTCTTAAGTTGTTCACAAATGGTTAGCTACAGCCACTTGATTTGCAGTATTCTTGCATGGTGAGTTGGTTGCTACCCCATCGGGTCAGGAAGCAGAAACCAGGTCATGGGGATAAACTTCCCAGCAGAAAGATCAGTTGAGGAAAACAGACCTTTTGTCAGCTGGTTTAAATGTATTTATCCATTCCACCAGATGACACCTGGCCAGGGATTCCCAGTGTTTTGCAATGTGCCAGAAGCACACATGGTGGCTATCATCCCACAGAGAAAATGGGCTCAGTTTTGTTGTCATCTTCATTAATACATGGCTAGCTCTTTTCGAAGTACAAAGGCAGTGGTGTGCAAACAGAAATACCGCTTCCAAAGAAAAATGGCAAATGAAAGGGTAGAAGGTTACTCTTTTCTATGATTTGATTGTCCTGTGTATCAATATATTTTTGCATTTAGAATCTGCAGTGTGTGTTAGGGAGCCTGAGAATGTTTTTCCTCTGTTTATATATCTATATAGAGAATTGAATTGTGAATCTATCATGAATTGTCTATCTAATTATCTGTCATCTACCTCTACATCTATACATGCACACGCACACATATAGACACATAGTTATGTATATTACCTTTTGTACAGCACATCACCAGACCTTCAAGAATACTTTTTCTCTCATGATAAACAAAATGTCTGCCAACTGCTCAGAAAAATGCTTACAAGCAGGTAAATGCGCAGCTGGATGCACCTTGAGGGGAAAAGCCCCCAAAGTGGTGATCAGCTACTGCATCAGACACTGTACAAACAGCCCCAAGGCAACCGCCACCTCCGAGACCTCCCGGCTGAGGTACCGAGCAGGAGGATGAATGGAGGATGGCTCTGAGAAGTAGCCTGAGCACGTGTAGCAAAGTGCTCCTCTTGCTCCTTGCCTGACACCGTGCCAGGCAGTCGGTGGTGACTTGTAGGTGTTAGTGGAAGGCAAGGCATGAAGAACAATGCAGTGCTTAGTGAGAGCTGAAATGGGTTTTAATATAGAAACCTTTATTTCATGAAATATGACTGTGGCTGTGCAAGCAAGTGTGCAGGTGATGGACTGCTGAGGAACTGTCTCTGTGCCAGAGATTTATGCTGAACGAGCTGGGAATTTGTGAATTCTCTTCTCCATCCATTGCTCTCTGCTGAGCCCTCGGGGACTGCCTTACTGTACCATGGCATGCAGCATTCCCTTGGGCTGTATTATTTCCCCTCAACATCTCTAATCTGAATTCTATTTTATTTTTCTTCGTATCAAAGCTTCCTTTTTCTGGCAGAGGCCACTCTATTGATCTGTATCTGTAAAGTATCAGCAGTGTGAGGGTAGTCTTAAATAATGCATTGGGGTTTGCTCCCTCTGCTCTCAGTGAGCTCCAGTGAACTGCTCCTTCAAGCTGCTGTGGAGCCTTCCTAGCTTGAACTGTCTCAGTTGTCTTTTGTCCTCTCTCCTTCCTGCCTTCTTAAGCACAGAAAGCAAAGCAAACTCAAGATGTTCAGAGTTTGGAGAACAGATGCTGTCATTTATTGTCCAGAGGCAATCCTTATAATCAAGAGAGGCTGCCTCTCTCTTTTTGTAAGACTGTTTTTGAGTGTGAACATTATTTTATTGATGCCTTTATGCATCTGACAATCAGTGGCACTCTTGCCATCCCGTCTCTGCCAGTGAGGGGTTTTTTTTCCCACCTCAAAATGAAGCTTGCTTGTTTTGAATGCTCTTTTGGCAGGAGCTTGGCTCCTGATGATGACAGTGAATGCTCCTGACTCCCTAGAGGCCTGATTTTGCCAATTACTCATGCTGAGAAGCATGTCCTTCTACAAGCTGTCTTAGCAACTGGAGGCTGTGTTTCTGGGAGGGGTTGTTAGTCAAGCCAGCAATAAGCCAGGGCACTGAAGTGGTCCTTGTGTCACCTGAGGAGGACAAGAATCACTGCCAGGGTGCATCAGTCCCAGTTGGGGAGCAGGGCAGGACTGAGGGCAGCCCTGGGCATCTCCTTGGTGCTGCTGGAGGACCCCCACAGGTTTGCTGCATCAGAGGTGGTGGGTGTCCAGGAAGCAACAGAAGCATTTGTGCCTGGGCCAGGAGGCTCAGGAACCCATCTGGATTCACATTCACATGGCGCTGGCTGTTTCGAGCTAATGCTGCGGTGAGGAGATTCACAGAGAGCCAGAAAACGAACTCTCAGGAAGACAATGAGTCTCCAGACTACCTAATGACTACTTAATGAGTGTCTAAGCACTGCACCGTTATTGAATTTTAATTGCCTTCTTTCTGGCTTGGTGCTATAAAATGAAAAAGGAGCAAACACTACATGTAATGAGAGTGGATGATTAAAAAGTAATACCTAAGAGACACCCAGGCGTTTGTGGAAAAGACCACAAGGATAATGTAACGAGAGAATGCACCGCTGCTTGTGTGCCTGCCACCTCTCTGGATAAAAAGTACATTTTTACAATTGTTAAAAATTGAACTTGTTTTCAGCATGATCTGGCAGAAAAATAGATCATTGCGTATCAGTGAGGTAATTAAAGTTATACTGAATGAAATACTGGTTAACACCAGTGTATGGAAAATCCAATCTACCTCACCAGGTCAGTGCAGATGGGCTTTTCAAAGGTTGCTTTTTAGCGTTGTGCCCGTAGTGATGTCTGCTTAGATTATTATCTACCTTATTAAATGAACATGTATTACTTTCAGCAGTACACAGCAGGAAGGCCCAAATGAAAGGAGACAAAATGTGCCTTCAATCCATCACGCATTTAGAGATGTGCTTAGCTTTCAGTGCCAGCCCCAGTGTTGCACAATTGCGGGGGGAGCAGATAACACTGGTGTGTAGCACTGGGAGAAGCACAGCACAGGGACTTTTTGCCCATAAAAGAGTTAGGTCTTTAGAGCTTGAAGCCCCAGCTTCAAAGCAACAGGCATTCAGAGGTCCAAGAAGACCTCCAGCTGCTGGAGAGCTTGACAGTGCCACAGCCTGGTGGTCCAAGCAGTTGAGCTAAATTAATATAGATTTATATAATCAAAAGATAAATTAAATTGAATTAAAATTTACATAGATTAAATAAAGTCCTATAAACAGAGATTGACCTCCCTTTTCCCATTTGTTTTGTACGCTCATAATTGACTAAATGGAAAATGCAGCCAAGTCCTGGAGAGCAGGCCAGCCTTCTCAGGTGGGTTGGCTCCCTTTGGCCAGCTCTCCTGCCTGGGCTGCAGGGCCGTGCATCACGGGCTCATTTTTTTACCCCTCTACTCTTAACAAACTGTAGTGTTTGATGGCGTGACAGTGGGGACTCCCTAGCGAGCAGCACTGGTGGGAGTCAGAGCAGCTGTAATTAGTTCTTTCTTAATGCCAGAAAATTACCTAAAGCAGCACTTGCCCATAAATCAGAAGTCCCCATAAAGATGGATGGCAGAGAACGTGTTATTTAGGGGACATGCAACCTGCAGGCGCTCCCGTAATTTCACTTTTTTCAACTCTGATGGGTGAGCATTTGTAGGGTATTTTGACCAGAACCAATGGAAAACTCTGCCCTGGTCTTGATGTCTGTGACTATACCCATTTGTTTTGATCATCTCTTTCCATGTCATACATTTTGTCACCAGGCATTAATCCGACAGGTCTCTCTGGTACAGCTTCTCCTCTGCTGGAGTTTCTGGTAACTCTTCATGAAATATTTTGGGCTCCGATGTTTTCATAAAGAAAATGAACTGCGTTTTTTTCTTCCTCTCTCTTTTTCCATCTGCATTTGTTTGGCTCTAATAATTTTTCTCATGAGCAGGTTTGGTGTAGTGAGTGTCCATGGCCCTGTTGCATTTCAGAAAATTCTCCCTCCACGCTCCTGACAAGCATAAACCTTATAGGCACAATTTTTCAGAAACTTTATATCAATTGTTACGCTTTCTATTTATTTAATAATGGCTACCTCTCAATTGGCACCAGAACTATATTTTTGTCACATTCCCTTCCTCTTCCTTTCCTTTCCTTTTTTAAGATCTGAATTTGTCCTTTGCACTTTCCAAGTATTCCCTACATTTTAAATTAGTTGCGAACTTTTGAAATAATTACAAACAACAATTCTTCCTAGGGTTGAAAGGTGAGCATCAAGCAATACTTCACAGCAAGACAAAAATACCATTCCAGCTAAAGAGACTCCGCAAAGCAAAACATCAGAGAGACAAGTCAGAAAAAGGACCAGGTTTTCAGGTACCAAAAGCAGGAACAGGTTTTCAGAATTCTTACCACGTAAGGAAATATCTGAGGGGTTATAAGAAAAATAGGAAGCATGATTTAGGCATTATTCTTAAAAAATAAATCTACAGTATCTTAGTATTATCAGCACCTGAATCTAATTCTTTGCCATCAAAACACTTTTTATATTACTGCATTTATAGTCAGAAAAGACAGGAGAAAGGTCATCCCGTTATTGTCATCTAAGGAAATACACAATTTTTTCATCTTATTAATCAAAAGTTTGGCAGCAAAAAAATGTACGAGACTGAAAGCCTGGATAGATGACTTTGGGGAAAGGCACTTTTCTTCAGGATTTATGTCTTTTTTTCTAGAAAAGTAAAAAGAATTTGAAAATGTCTAAAATGTGAGCTGCATCAGTTAATTGTGTGAAAATAAGCTTCAATCAAAGAGGCTTTGATTTCTCAAAGAGAATGAGGCACACTTTCAATATATTCATTTGCAATCAAAAAGACTAGACAGATTTGACTTTTTTTTTTTCAGCAACAGATTCAGGGATTTGCAGAACCTGAGGATGTGTTGATTTAATGACAATTCCCATGAATTATAATGAGTGGTGTTCTCACATCTATGAACATTTCCATTTCTCTTGGGTAGAGCACCGACTCGCTTAAAGCTGCCCAAGAGCAGGGAGAAAGTAATCCCTGTGCAGTTACTACATAGAACAGCCACAAATGTCATTGTGTGGACCATGTCTCAGGTCCGTGGTGGTAAGGATGAGTAACAATAGGATCTTAGGCCAAAAGAAGAGTCTTGGTCCCATCTCCACCTGTGAGAACTGCAGGTGCAGGTCGGACCTCACATGGGTAGTGCTATCACCAGCAACGCCCCTAAGGCAGAACGTGATCCTGCCTCTGCCAAAAGGTCTCGTTGCAGAGTCAGTGAAAGGAGATGATCAAGGGAAATGCACTCCCAAGGGCATAGGTGGTGTGATTTTGTTGGATCACAGAGCTGGGAGACTCGAGCACCCAGTTCAGGTGGTGAGGATGGGGTGAACTGCTGCCTGACAGCCCTGAGCCCCGCTGAGCACGTCTGGGCACCCTGGTCTGGAGCCAGCCCAGCAGTTTTCAGGCTTTTTTTTTTTTTTTTCCAAGGACTCAAAGGGTAAAACCTCAGCGCTGGTGCCACTTGTGTTAAAGGAGCCTGTTTGACTGCTGTGTGGTGCCTGCCTTTCCCAGCTGCTAACATCTGTCTGTAATTCCAACAAGGCAATGGAGACTCATACAAACGAAGGCAGAGCTGGTGCTGACACGCAAAGGGTTATTGTTGCTGTTTAGTGCTAATGGCTTTCTGCATTATTGTAGCCATTTATCCCTATTCCTTGTGCCTTTGTCACATCCTTCTCAGAGACAGGAGTTACTGTCACTGAAGACTGGAGGTAATTTACCAGTGCTGCCACCTACGCACAAGTTGCTAATTATAGACTAGGAGCAGGTGGAAGGAGCCAGGTACATTATGAATCTGTTCTTATTAACGAGCGAGCAGCTAGGCCGAGGGTTTCCAATTATGCTCTCTGTGTTGGCAGCAGATTTGCTTGTAGCCTGGCTTCTGTTTCAGGAGCCAGTACAGCAGTCCTGCTGGGTAGATGTTTGCTCCCAGTGGGAACTGGACTTGCATTGATTAGCCTGCAAGTGTGGAGCCCTGAAAGCAGTACGCCATGTGCTCAGATGCTGTGTGCTGTTGCCCCCCCGATTTAGCCTTTAAACACCCATTAAAACCCACTACCCCCAGCGCTCCTTGTGGAAACAAAACAAAAACTCATTGGGTGGTGAGGTGAGCTTTAGGCATTTATTCTCTAAAAGAGCTCTGGCTGTTGGATTTGTGACTTTCCACTTTTCTTTCCCTGCATAAGCACCACAGAAGTTTCGGGCTGTCCAGGAATGACTGCTTGGTCAATGTATTGTTTCCAAGAATGATGCGGATGAGGACGTATGAGGAAGCTGTTTCTGGGAATGGGATGCATGAAGAGAGATGCAGAAACTCCGGAGGAGCAGAGGATAAAGAGGGAAAGAGGCAGAATGCCTTGAAGAGAATTGCAGACTTCACACCCAGCCTGGTAAATGAGGACACATACCTCCCCTCAGCAGGTAGGAAACCCTGAAAAAGAGAAACATTTCTGAAGCGAGAGGAAAGTCCTACTATCCCTGTGGATATTTGTTAATGTTTAAAGTTATCTTTCAAACAAAGCAGCAATTACATCTTTTGAGTATCAGTAACCCCACAAACATGCCAGCCTTTGTAAATTCAGATATGCCTGACACGGCTGACCTCCTGTTTTCGATGGCTGTCCTTGTTAGGGCCCATCCCTTATCTTACCTGGTTTCAGCCAGAGCAGGGCCCTGGGGAGCACTGGAGAGAAGCTGATCTTCCTCATCCTACCTAGCAAATCAAATGTGATTAAGAAATTTCACAATGTCAGGCCTTCTTTAATATCTGAGTATTGCTAAACGCGTCTGAGTTTACAACTGGGTCTGACGAGTTTAATATCAGCCATCAAATGTAATAGAGCAGACTGCCTGAATTCCCTTCCCGGGATAATAAGATATACTGAAGTAGAAACGATTCTTTTCATGTTAATAAACCGAGTGCCTTTCATTGTGTTGGCACCATGAGGAATTTGAACTCAATTCAGAATAAAGCCCTTGATCTGGCAGCAGGCTGACTGTAAGCCATTTGAATTACTCCTTTGTTTTAACATTTATCAGTGTGAGGGTGAAGCTTGTGTTCTTCAGCAAATGATTGTCAATGAAATATCAGCTTCTTCATTAAGGTAAATTAGGGAAAATGTGCCATGGATAAACAGTGCACTCTGAAATGTTATTCCTGTTAAATAAGCTTTGTGTTATGGTTTTACCCAGAGGCTGGATCACCAGTGGTGTACCTGTTTGGCAGCAGAGCCATCTCCAAAGGGTGTAGAGGTGAAAAAACAAGTTGTGAGAGGTGACCAGGCCAAATGAATGAGAGGTGAGATGGCAAGAGAGCACAGCAGCAGGATACATCAGCACAGACCAGCTCACATGCACCACTCATCTCCCAGAGAAGCACTGACTTACTATCACATGAGAGCATTTAGTGCACAAGGATGAAGCAGGGGAGAGTCAGAAAAGGAATGTTTGCAATAGAGAAAGTCAAAGGTGCTGGCTGGAGAATCAGACAAATTTGACTGCTCTCATCAATAGAGAGAGAAGGCAAGCAAACGTGGCGATAATGAAGGAATTGAGCTAAACTCAGGAGCTCTGGAAGGTGAGGTTGGAGTCTGATGTACTTTATAGGTTTGATAGACCAAGAGATGCAGAAAAGAAGTTCTTCAATCACCGTGTGTGGGTGTACATCATAGCGAATCACAGGCATGGTTTGACTCAGAAAGACTCGCACCGAGTGTGTCTTTGCCTGCTTGGTATCCACTCAGCTCATTTCCTCGGTGAGAAATTTTCTTCACCACTTGAAATTAAATGTCAAGACCCTGTACAGTGGTTGTCTAAGGGTACTGGAAGTTAGCCACTGCCACGGCATGGCTCGGTGGTGATTGAGCTGGCAGAGCACTCCCAATGCTGTTTCACAATCTGTGGCTTTAGCACAGTGACCACCCGGTGGGGCAGCTCTCAAAATGGGGAGCAATGTCAAAGTCTTGTCTCAGGAGAAGAGGAAAGGGCAAGCTGCCAGGCCACTAGGGGAATGGGGTTTTGCGGTGGCCAGAGAAGATGGCTGGGCAGAGATAGGACTGGCAAAAGAAGCCCCATATGAGGATGGGGGGCCAGTGTCTGGAGACAAGCAGACGTTTCTATGCTGAACTAGAAGTTAGTTTGTAGTCCTTCCCCTGCTCCTGCCACTGTCTGTCTCAAAAGCTGAAGTCTAATTTCTATTCCCACTAAGATGACCCCACATCATTGATTTCCTGAGATCCAACAGAAATCACAGGGGATGGTGCTAAGCAGCACAAAGACATCAGCAGTTTGCAGTATCACTGGAGCACCTGTTAAGTGGCTTACAGACTGCTGAACCGACAGCTCAAAAACTACCTGTCAGTGGGGAATTGTCATCCAACTGTTTTTTTTTCTAGTGGGGTTTGCAAACATTCGTATGAGGCCAACACTGCTCTGTGTTTCCATCAGCAGTCTGAAATGGAGTGTAATTGCTCTGCTGACAAAATGTGACAGCACAACAATTTGTAATGGGTCATGGTGGGAAGCGAGGTGTGTGCCCATTCCTGGGCTACAGCCAGTGGATGCAGAATCATGTCAACCCTGGAAGGGCTGTTGCATCTCTACTGAGCCAGCATCTGATCAAGGATTTTTAATGTAGTGATGTGATAAAACCTTTGCTAGCAGAATTTTCTAAGGTATAAGTGACAGATCGGTGCATATAAATAGGAAGGTGGGAGATACTGACTGTCCTTTGTGTATCACATACCGTTTTGTTGGTCTTATTTTGAAAAGGCCTTTGAAAAAAAATGGAGAGGGGCACAAAAAATCCATAAAGGTGTTCAGTCACTTATACCGAGACACATCGCTTAGGCAGGTTATTTTAACAAAGATGGGAGGTTGAAAGATGACTTGTTGATTCCTCACGTTGGGGAAAATACCAAGTACCAAAAGCTCTCTTGTATCATGAGACAAAACACATACCAAAACATGCAGCTCAGCAAGGACTCCAGCCGTGTTCAGTTTGGCATGTTTAACCATGAAGACCAGGGAAGAGGTTGATTCTCAGCCTTTGGTGGTCTGCAAATCAAAAAGTGGAAGACAAGCTCTAGCCCCGTGCTGGTATGAGTATGAACAGCAGCAGCTACAAGGTTCAAGTCACTTGGCTCAGTGCAGAGGTCAGTAGGTGAAATAAAAGGACCTGTACAAGGTAGCCTGTAAATCACAGTAGGAAGCCTTTCTGGCTAGCTCTGCAGATCTGTTTTTTAAGCAGCAATACGAGCAACAAGCACTTATTTTCATCAACAGGGTCTTTTCTGTGTTGGCAAGTGCTTGGGTGAATGTTAGCTGATTGGAGAGGTGTGCTCTTAGGGAACATCATACTGGGAGTGTCAACTATACCTGTTCCTTTTCCAAGCAAAAAGCTGCAGACTGACTGCATCTTTCCGAGTTCTGCTGCAGTGTCTTTTAGGTAATCAGGGGCAAAATAAAGGCTCAGAGGTGTTGCTGCATCTGATTGCAAAAGTAGAAATCAGAGTTTTCTCTATTTTCAGTGTATTTTCTTCTGAAAAAAATGATCACCTCTCACTGACGGTGCACCAGAATTTTAAACGCTGGAGTTATTCAGTTAGAAACAACTTGCTGCTGCTCCTGTCTGTTTAATCTTCCTTCACTCAGCTCATGTCACTCAGAAAAGGACTTCCATTGAAAGGAGGGGATGCCTCATAGGCTTGCCAGATTGCAGTTTAATTGGCTTTGTTCCCCAGAGACTAAGACTCAGAAGAAGTTTTCAAAGTTGAAATGACAGTGGTGCAAGAAATGGTTTCCTCCTTCTCCCCATGTGTGTGTGTCCCCTCCCTACAGAGCTCACCAGTGGATTTGCTTAAGAAGACCACGTGCTGAGGAGCATTCAAGCCTTAACTCCAGCAGCACGTTGAGATGGGAAGGCATGCAGAGGTGACAGCACGTGACAGTGTGCTTCCACAGAGATGCAGATGCTCTGGAGAGGAGAAATTCCCAGCTGGGGCAGGAAGATGTGTCCGAGCTTGCCAAGAACCGAGGCGAGAGGCAGGTAGGACTCAGCAGGGTGCATGCAGAAAGACCTCTGAGTAGTCGCCCACTGACAAGCTGTCAGAGACAGTGTCCCCTTGCTACCTACAAAATCTCTAGTATCTGCACCCTGTGCATGACTCAGACTCTCAAAAGCATTTCAAAGCCACTAACTGGGCTCAGGTATGCAGTTCCTGTTACTTTCTCATTACTTGTTTTGACTATCTGCTTACATTAATTTACATTAATTGATTAGCTTGAGTCTGAGTGATTTAGGCCAGCTACTATCTACAACTGTCTCTGGCTCTGTACAGAAACAATGGAGAAAGGATGGAGCATCAGCTGAGGAGGCCAAAATGGTTGTTTATAAAGCATGGCTATTCTTTAAGACAAGGACTTGACTGGATTCTGGGAACTGAAGTTGTCCCTAACCCCCAACACTGGTTGACCATCTCCTGCAGCCAGAGGTAAGGAGTACCAGACCAGAGGGATGGAACACAGGATGTGTGGGAAGTGAACAGTACCTGGAAATTACACTGTAAGCATGGCAGACATGCACTGTTAAATATTTGCTCTCTGAACTCCACATATACATCAGGCTACTGCATATAGCCCAGAGCAGGCTATTTATCTTCTACCTGTCCTTTCTTGGACCATGGGTATTTCAGTCCCTTGTGAGTCCAGAGAAAGCCAATGGGCATCCTTTCCTGACTGCCCATGCAAGGAGGCTCTTTGTGGTGTAAAACACACAAACACTCCTCCCCACTCTGATATCTGGGTTGGAGACAGCACGTTTACAACTTCCTCTGAGAAACAAATGACTCAAGAAAGCAAGGGCCTGACCCACCAGATTATCTGCTGTCCCCCTGTTTCAGACCACAGGGAAGTGGTAATTCTTGTTGCTTGCCCTTTTGCTTCATTTTCATGGAAAGTATAAGGCACTGTTGGAAAGAAGTGTAGTTACAGCTTCAGCTGGGTGACACCCCAGACTAGACAGGAAGGGAAGGCTGAGAGCACTGCAGCATTGGCACAGCATGAGCACCACGTTGCTCACACCCCCTGGGAGGGATTTCTCGAAGTCTTGACATGAGCATGCTATAGATACAGCAGCTTTTTGCCCCAGGAGTATTGGAACAACTCTGTCACAACTCTAAAAATTGCTACACTTCACTGCTGTAATCATGGTACAATGTCTTCCAAAGTCTGTTTAATTTCTACATCTATTTTATTCCTAAATCTATTTAGATTATCAGAATAGCAGAACTGTATCTATTTTAGGATACTTAGTGCTCTCTCAACAGTCTGTCTTGGGATGACAATGCACACCCTGGTGCTCATGGTCTTATTACTGTATATAGACTGGTATAGGCAATGCTGAGCTCACCCAGCAAGCAGGACGTCTGCTTTCAATAGCTGTGCTCTTCCCTCTAGCTGAGTAACGGGCAACTGGAAAGGGCAGCTGACGTCAGAGACTGGTAAATCATGTAATTGCATTTTAACAAGCCCATAGGACCTTCTGCTTGGATTTGGCCGCCCAGGCAGAGGACCTTCTCTGTGTCTGTTTTCCAGGAAACAGCATCAAGTTTGCAGCCTCTCATACTGCTCCAGGAAAGAAGTAGGCAATCCTAAAGGACGACATCTTCCAAAAGATTTAGTGCCTGATTCCAGATCTCAGTATTCACACTCCTGCTTCAGCTGCTGCTTAGTGCTGGAAACCTCAGTTTCCAAGTGTAACCCATCTGCCAGAACTCAACTGGCAGCAACAAGGGCTGCACTCAAGCTTAACGCTGTGAGCCAGAAACAAGGAAAAGATTTATGAAATTTTGTTGCCCTTGGTGAGTTTACATTCACAACTTGCAAAGAGAAGTCAGATGGCTTAATGAACATTACTTTTGTTAAAGGGGACAACAAAGCTCTAGCAAAGTAGGTAAGCAGTAACCATTGCGATTATTTTATAAAGCAGAGCTTTAGATTATTTTATAAACCAGAGCTAGAACTTAAACAATTTTTACTGTATTTTCTTCTGGGGAAGCAGCTGCTAGGTCAGATGATTGCTTCCCCGTGCTTTCTGGCATTAACTTAAATGAAGAAACTAAGATTCACTCTGTTGATTTACAAAACCTGCAATGACCTTCACAATTTCACTCTCGGCTCCTCCTTGGTTTGCCAGAACCCCTCTGTCTCACAGTCCACCCTGACACCTGTGAAAAAAACCTATGTCCCAAGGCTGTTTGCTGGTCCTTCTCATCCATCACTCTCTGCTTGAGCAGTTAATAGACTCCTTCTCTGTTTTCTCCCCAGGGAGTCCTGGGGAGGGGTGCTTTGGAGGGACCGTTGGTGCCAGGCTGGAGCTGGTGTGGAATGCTGGTGTGAAGTGTGTGGTCTGTGTGTGTCAGTCATGTGAGCAGATTGGTGTATGGTCAGCACAAACCTCCCTCCCAGAGGTTCCTCCCTCCTGTCTCCAGAGGGAGACATAAACACTGGGTTCCCATCTGAAGATAAAAACAGTCACGTCGTTAAGGGTTAAGTGCTTGGGCAGGATGGCACCTACAGTTAGGTGGATGGATTAGTGCTATTGGACGTATTGGAGCTATTTGCCACTTTCCAAGCTACTGTTTGGCAAATTACCCATGTCCTTCAACCTCTTTCCTCCTCATCTATTTCCCGTAGCAGCAGTCAAATGCATGAACTAGCATTGTTGCGCTCCATCTGTTCCTAAAAATAGAGAAAAAATTGTGAGGCTACAAAAATAAGCCGAAGCCTAAAGCATTTTGTTTGGTTTTAGGGAAGAAATGGCTCTACATCTGTCTTTCTTAGTCTGCTTCCCCAAGATGCTCCCAGAGATTAAGGGTGCCTCTTGCAAGGATTTGGAGAGTCCTTTGCAAGAGCAGCATTTGTTCTCTCTGATCAGTCAGGAATAGTACTCACTGCTAGTACAAAACCTGAGTGCCAGCTTTCTCCAGCAGCACTGCTGGTTAAATAATGCCTGCTAGTGAAAAGGAAAAAAAGAAGGTAAAAAGATAACAAGAACAATTAGTAGGTACCATTCTGAACCACATCAGTGCTGCTACACTGGTGAAGGAAGATGGATGGCAGTAGTTTTTATATTTGTTTTCCAGATAAAGTATCTTTTATTCTCAGGAATATAATAAACTGAGTTCTTTTGGACTGTAAGCTATGCCAATGTAAATCAAATCCACTGCAATTCAATGCAAATCCACTGCCTTCACTGAAGTTTTATTGCTTTTCAGCAGCTGAAGATCTGGCTCCACCACTTACTGACTCTCCAGAGAAATCCAAGAGCTTGCTTGACAAGGTTCCTGAGTCTGCAGCTACTTACAGGTGAGTCTCAAAACAAAACCAGAGGTCCACACCAGCACAAACAATCTTTTCCCAAATTGCAGGGCTAAGTCTGGAGCTACTGCACGGGTCAGGGTATCATAAGCCAACCTTTGTTTCTCCGAGGTTTCATGTCTCCCCATGTAGTTTGAGCTGGGAAAATTCAATCTTGCAATTGCCTAAATTGCCCCTGGGGGTCTGAAGTGTGTGCAGCACCGGGCCCGGGGACACAGAACCGCGGAGGTGTGTCAGGCTGAAGGGAGGTTGATCAGGGCCACAGGTGCACACAGCTTTAGATCTCACAGCTGGGTTTAGCCTGAGGCCAAAACAGCAGCGGTAGCGATGCCGGCAGTGGTGAGCCTTGTCTTTCTCCTGACATATCATCTCTGCATGAGGCCAGCGGCACGTACATCCCAGCCACAGAGTAGCTGAGCTCTCTGAAGATACACAAACAAAACTTCCTTCCATGCTCTGAGCCTCACTTGTAGCTGACATTAATTTCCCTGTACTCAGTACCCAGCAGCATTACAGACCACAGTGAGGCTTGCAGCAGGGAGCTCCGAGGCCAGAAAGTGATATCTGAAAGGGCCACCGGGTCACCACTACAGCCAGAGACCTATACAGGAGAGCATAAAAAGAGCAAAGAAGAAAGTAATAACAAAAATAGAGCTGGAAAAAATGAAGCTAAAATTGCACAGGAAATAGCAGCAAAGAAGAAAAGGTGTTTGGAATAGAGTTGCTGCAAAAGGTCATTGCAAAGGTCAGGGCAGGCTCAGGGAGACAGCGATGGCAGGAATACTAAGTGTGTCAGGAAATGTAAATATGTTCTTTTTCCAGTGTTCACAGAGGGATAATGAGAGTGATGCCGGGGACAGCCATATGCTTTCAAGGGGAGTAAGCGAAATAATGAAAGGACTCCAGGTAAAGCCAGAGCCAGTGATAAAGGGCTTGCTCTTGTTGCAGGTTGTTAAAGTTTCAGGGCAAGGATCTGGCTCCTGAGGATCTCAGCAGGGAGCTGGGAGAAGCCAGGGCTGAGCTGGATGGACAGACCTACCTTGTTATGCTCCCACTGCGGTCTCGGGGCAAGGTCAGGCAAATGACACAGGTAGTAATGAACCAGGCTCCTTGAATTCGGCAACTAGCGGCTCCAGCCGGATGGAAAACACCTGGAGAAGTGTAATTTGATTAAAAATATTCTGCAAGGACTAACGAAAGAAAATCATGCTTAACAAATTATATGGAAACTTATTGTTCCTGAAGAGGGTGACATTAAGAGCTGACAGGCAGAAGCCGTGGGTGTAATTTACCTGGCCTTCAGTACAACCTTCGGTATAGAATAAATGAATACATTAAATTTGCATTTATATAGATCCTTTTCATCCACACGCCACAGCAAAGCACTTTGTAAACATCACATGGGCCATACAAAAGATGCATCCATGACAAGTTGGGACAAAGAGATTATTGGGAAAGCGGATCCTGAAGAGGCTGTGGATTGCAGACATGGATGTCTCTTGTTGGAGGTGCATGGTCCACACTCTGGTGATCATAGTCTGTCCATAGAAAGCCACTTAGTGGTAGGGACATAAGCCTGCAAATCACTTGGAAAACTATGGAAGTGAACTGCTGGCCAACTCGCAGACTCTCCCTCTCTCTGAAGGGGATCCCCAGCCAAGGGGTGTCATGGCTGTCCCCTACCCTCTTTTGGCTTTTAGGGTGTACGTTGGTCTGAAGTAGCCTCACATCTCATAGGTCCTGCAGCAACAGATGGAGCTGTATTAGGCAGTACAGCTTGCTCCTGCTGAGGATGGCCCAAAATAAACAAATCCCTTAGCAAAATGCATATAAAAGCTTCTGTACTTTTAAGTGGCCTCTGCTATAGTAATAAGATAACACGTTGCACTTCATAGAAGCACCTAAAAGCTTCATTTAGAATTGGTCGTAATATTTTAATAGATGCTGACTTTTTTTTTCAGTGAAAAAACCAGCAGAATTGTTTCCAGGCAGCTGAAATGTGGTTTGTATCACTCTTCTCAAAAATTAGTATTTCTTTTCTGTTTTTATGAATATGGTTGTTGCGCAGTTGAAAACATTCCTGCAGTTGGACCCTGCTAGCAGTCACTTCAAGGCAATGAAAGGCAGGAGGATGGTTTTATTCACAGTAAAAGATTTGAAATCAGGACTAATGTGGAAGAGTTAAAAATGACTTTCATGGCTCGCTAGAGAAAGCAGGTTGGAATTTCAAATTGTCATCTCAGAAAAATGACTATTAACGGCTCCCAGGGCTGGCACTGCAGCAGGGAAGCTGGGCCTTTGTCCTGGCACTGCATCGCCACTAATGAAGGGCCAGTCTCTACTGGCCATCTCTCAAACTTAATGGCCAAATAATGAATAGAAATTTATGGCTTGTCCAAGACATGGATACTGTGGATTCAGGAAGATTTTCTAGCTTTAGTTCAGCTTTACTTTAAAATTAAAGAGAGGCAGGAAGAAAAGCCTACCATCTGTGGGTTCAGGATTACAGCCCAAGCACTGCAGCTCTGTCACCCCAGTTCCAGCAGAGAGGGACCATCATTTTGCCTCCCTTGGACCCAGGACACTGTCACGTGCATGGTCAGCACCAGCCAGGCTGCTCATGGTCTCCAGTGTCTTCTCCGTGATGCAGCCTTTGCTGCCCTAGGTAACTAACTTCACAGCAGTAGTGTCAGCAAGGATTATGGCATGTTCTCTGCACTGTACTTTGCAGTTCCTAGTTACCAGTTCATCCTGTGGGCTTACAAGCATTTCATTAGCCCCAGCGTTTCCGTAGTCCCAGGGATAGCACAGGGCTCTGTCCCTCCACAGCTGAATGGCACTGCAAATTGGGCATGGAAGGAGTATCCATCAGCAGCTTAAGTGGCTCTAACTGCCGGTTTGCAAGACTTTGCTCTGTTCCTTCATAACTTGTAACCTTTTTATTCTATTTTAAAGCTGTATAAAAATGCTTTAACAGTATGAAAAACAATAACTTAAAAATCCATCTCAAAGTTGTCTCTTCTTCCAACAATCCCAACATCTCAAAGTTGTCTCTTCTTCCAACAATCCCTGACTTATTCCAGAAGCATTTACTACGTGAAACAATGATGAGAAATTGCACTGGCAGCCAAAGACAAGCTGTCTCCAGAGACTGATTTTAACAGATTATTTTTATTAGAAAACACTGGGGAGTGTTAGTGAATGACAACTTGGAGAACTGGTTTATGGCAGTCTTTTCAACAGCTATCTCTCTGCACTTACTCCACATCAATCTTAAATGAGTATCTCCTTCAAGGCTTATCTCATCTGCTCCAATTTTAGAAACAACTTAATAAAGTGCATTTGTCACCTCTTCTCCACATGGATTCTTGGCTAGTTCTGCCTTTACGTGGCTCTTACGTGCATCTTAACCTTGATCTCCTTTTCCTAAAAAATATGCTTATCAGCCTTTTGATGAAGGGCATTTCCTCCTCCTTTTTTTACTCCTTGAGGCTAACTTCTCTGGGCTATACTCAACTTGTTGCACTAAACTGCTCATTTTTCGGAGTTCAGCTGGTAATGAGGGTCAGTGATGGTTGTAGCAGGGTGTTTGTGATCCCACTACCTTCATGCTTCAGCACTGTAAGGTGTGAGACACGGTCAACAGGGCTGGTTTGTAGCAGGGCAATGTGCTTTTCTCCCTGGCTTCCATTGCCAGGTGATCTATGTGCACAGCGGCTTCAGGCAAGCTCCTGAGATGGAGCTACAGTCTGGCTAAAATGCCAGGTGCCACATATATATTCATTAACATCAATGTTATTTAATGGTACCCATTGTGCATTTTAATGAGGCATACCCCATAATATGTGTCAGGGCTAGGGCAGGCTCTGCTGGAAAGATAAATATGGATGGAAGAAAAATGTGTTTTGGCACAATGGAAAGATCCACTAATGTCTTAATTCTGCTTTTCATACTTTTCCAATGGAAATATTGACACTCTTGGTTATAAGCAGGGGGACATGGGGTGTAATTCAGACTGACTCGGCTTCCAGGAGCTTTTTCTGCCTGTGGGTATTTCTCAGTAATTCTGTATTATGGGCTGGCCTTGGGGCCTCTGTCTCCAGTCTCGCTCTCGTGAGGGCCAGCTGCAATTTCAACTTCTGTGCTCAGTCCCAGTCCTGCACTCTGTCTCTTGGGGAGGGGACAGGGAGAGAGGAGACCCACCTGCATGGAGGTGAAAAAAACACCACCATCTGCCATTCCTGAGAGGAGCTGAGCTTTCCCCGTGCCTGCCTTGCAGTGAGGACAGGACAGTTCCCCCAGGACACCACAGTGCTGGGGTGACTCACCAGGCTTCGCAGGGCTGTCCCACCTGGCTTTAATCAGGCTACTTTGCTAAGTTTATTTTCTGACGCTTTGATTTTGCCTCTCAGATCATCATGGTGCCCGGTTCTCTGCTCTCGTACCCGATATTCCATGCTGCAGGTGTGTATTGAAGAGCTCATCCAAGTCTAAAGTAGTTAAATGGTTTCAGGAACAAGCCACGATTGAGTTTTCAGGGGTCAAAAATGGTGACATTTCTCTCCTACATGCTGTAAGTCTTGCTTGGCGTGCGTTCAGCTCACTGTTGAAAGCTACCACTGCACACTAGGTTTGTGCAGAATTGATGGTATCCCTAGCGTTCATATTTTTATGCATTGGAATAATTTCTGGAGTGACCTTCTATTAGCCCACGTATTGACCACTTTTAAAAGAGTAATGAATTCCTCTTGATCCCCCGAAACAGAGCAGAGCGTGGGCTGCCTGCTGGCGTCAGCAAGATGATTGAACAACCAGTAGTCCTCTTGTCACAGCGACGGGAAGGAGGGATGAGCAGGAGGAAAGAGGTAATTTAGCTCTTTTCATGTTAGAATAGGGAGCACGTAATAAAAAAAGAAGTCATTTGGAAATAAATGACTGAGACGGCATTTAAAACAAATCAAAGATAAACATGCCTGTTCTCACACAGAACTCTGTAAGAATTATTGTCCCCTGCCCATCACTGGGAGCCATCATTTGTCTTTGCTTTCTTCTCCCCACAAAGATGCAAATGGGAGTGAGAAATGGCTCGGCAGGAATCTCATCTCATGACAAACATGAGGGTAATATTGGGCTGTGTTATAAATGTCGTTCAGCTTTATCCCAGCTCCTGCGTGACAATACTCAGCGCTATAAATGTCGTTCAGCTTTATCCCAGCTCCTGCATGACGGTGCTCAGGCTTCCCCTGCAGGCTGCCTTTTGGGAATGGTGCATTGGCCAGGAAGTGTTTTCAGAGAATATCCATGATGATTTCCTGACTTGTCAAGAAAGATTTTAAACAGTTACTCATGCAAGACAAGACTGCTAGGAACATTAAAGCCTGTCTTTGGTCTTTCCAGGCAGTCAGTAGTATGTGTCCACAGAAATTCCCTCACATGTGGAGAAGCAGAAACATGTTTTTTAAACTGATTAATCAGCAAAGATTACTGAAGTGTTGGCCGGATTGGGCAGCTGGTTAACCTCTGCAACAGCAAAGCCCAGATAAAATGCACCCTCAGCACTTGCAGGCCCATGGACACTGTGGTTCATGGGGACTGTCATCCTCCACTGCACATACATGGACATCTGCTGGACACCAGAGCCAGGCTGCAGCTTGTCACAGTGGGTCACACTGACCTATGCTGATGGACCCATCCTGTCAGTTCTGCCCAAGGATACCTCAACGTATTTGGGGTTCTCAGTGGCAATACACATATTTTTCTCTTTAGTCTGCTTCCCCGAGTCACCGTGGCTTTGAAATGTGACATTATTACAAATGAGAAGGCATACCTGCTCAGGTGATTTTCTGTATCATGTATCATATGTCCCTACAGGGAAACGGAGATAGATACATGTTTGGAAGATACTTCGATTTGTGTGAGTGAACCAGCTACTTAAACCAGGTAAGCCAAGCAGTGTGTTTTTAAGTAAATCCATGAAAATCACATTACTGAAACAGTAACATGGGTGTCAGAAAGCACATTTCAAGTCCTCACAGTCAATGGTAGTGTATGTATCTTAGTCCTTGGGAAAACAACACCAAGTCAACGTTATTAGCTGTCTCAATCAGCACAAGAAGAGCCTAAACTTATGTCTGAAAATATCCTGGTCTTATCCTTGACAAGTCCTGCCTTTCAACCATTTAAAAGTGCAGGATCTGAATATCTTAATTCCATTTCTAGGTCCCCTGGTCTATCAACATATGTGTATTCTGACAGTAGAGAGGTAAAAGATTATACAAAATCTTTCATCTTTTCTATTTGAGTAAGAGAACTTACCTGGATTGTCGTGAAGACTCTGCTGTGCACAAGGAGTCAAAGGCAGAAAATGAGTGCAGAAAAGGCTGTGTCTGTCTTTACAAGTAATGCAGTGCAGTAGGAGCAGATCTGTAGAGGGACGGAACCGTTAACCCAGGACCAAAGTCGGCACCGTCCATGAGTCAGGATGCTTTACTTTGAAAAGCTCCAGTCTGGTCCTGTCAATGGCTATTAAGGCTGTAATTCATTAGCGACTTCTCACATCTTCCAGGTTAGTTTAATCTGAAAAAAGAAAACAACAAAAAACCACTAGTTTGTGCAGTTTGTAATCATGCTGCAATGAGAACCAATGAGTGGGAAGCGAAGGTGATCAGGAGATTTGCTTTAAAAGTTCTCTAAAAATTGAACCAAACCATGAAAACCCCCACACTGGTTAAAGCAGCTCATCACGTATTACCAGTCCATACCCAGTTCTTGCATTCAGCAAAAAAAGTGAGGAAACAGAAAATTCCCAAGTTTGTTCATCACCTGTTGCAGCATCTTCTGTGTTTTCTGATGTATAAATGCAGTGGGAACCCTTCCCTTAAAGAAGTCTCCAGGAATTGTGCTGCGTACTGAAGTCCAGGAGCTTGTTGTGACAAGCAGAGACAATCTGTGATAGTGGCTTTTTAGCTTAAAAGTATGACTAATTACTAAACACTCAGGAGGTCTTACTCTGTGATATGAAAAGTGCAATTGAGGTTCACTGTTTGTTTTACAGTTTTCCCCTTTGCTTTATATTCCCATTCCTGTTTCCATCCATCTGATCTCCAAACTGAAGAGCTGAGGTTGCATTCCTACTTCACAAGACTAAAGCAACGCATATTGCACTGGTGAGCATTAAATAGCAATCTTTATATGTCCTTGAAGAAACCTGGAAAACCTATGCCTGTAAGGACATGAAAAACTGTTAAAACAGAGAAGATAAATTGTGGCTGACAAGGGGCTGTACGATGAGGCTTCTCTTTGAGGAAAGACCTAATAAATTAAAGGTGACTTACAAAAGCTTTCCTTTCAAAAGGAGATAAATTCAGAGATCTGTCTCACCAGAAGCGCGAGTATCAGGGAACTCAAAGAGCCTGCCTGCTGACGAGGGCAGAGACAACCTGTCTCCATCTTCTTGCACTGAAATGTCTTGTAATAAAACTAGGCTCTTGCCCTCATGAATTTGCTTGTGTTCTCACATTTCATGTGACCCCGCTCTCACGAGACCCTACCTGGAGCACTGGACATGGACCTGTTGGAGCAAGTCCAGAGGAGATGATCAGAGGGCTGGAGCATCTCTCCTATGAAGACAAGTGACGAGAGTTGGGGTTGTTCAGCCTGGAGAAGAGAAGGCTCTGGGGAGAGCTTACAGCCCCTTCCAGAACCTAAAGGGGGCTTACCAGAAAGATGGGAAGGCACTCTTTATCAGGGAGTGTAGCAACAGGCTGTTAACAGTTTTCAACTGAAAGAGGGTAGATTTTGATTAGATATTAAGAATAATTTTTTTTTCCCCAGTCAGATACTGGAACAGGTTGCCCAGAGAAGCTGTGGCTGCCCCATCCGTGGAAGTGAACAAGCCCGGGCTGGCTGGGGCTTTGAGCAACCTGGTCTGGTGGTAAGTGTCCGTGCCCATGGCAGGGCAGGTGGAACTAGATGATCTTTAAAGTCCCTTCCAACTCTAATAATTCTATGATTGTATGACTCCAAGATAAAAGATCCCTGGGGGAGCTGGCTGTTTCTCCAATGATGTAATTTGTGCTGTAGCAGCAGCTCCTGCAAACTGGGTGCTGCTGGGTGCTCAGGCAGCCTCACATGCAATGGGGACAGCAAAGCCAGCCTGAGCAGTGGGGTCAGTGCATACCAAGCTCGAAGGGGCTAAAAGCAGTTGAATTTTAAGATGAGCCAGCTGAGGTACAATTTTGTGTCCTCAGCCACTGGAAGGTAGGTGTCTATTTTGGTCAAAACCTGTCCCAAGCACTTAGGGTAAAGCTTGACTCCCTGCACAGCATGGCAGAGAGAGAGGGGAGGGAAGACAAGAGGAAGGCTGAGCTTGGCTGCAGGCTGGCTGGGTACCAGGGTCTGCCCCAGTGTGTGCAAGTACTTTTAAAGCAATCCTGCAGTGAATAACAGAAAAAATCAGGCCCTGCACATGTTTTATGGATCACAGAATAACATTGGTGGGAGAGAAGCTTGGGATCATCTGGTCCCACTCCAGTCCACAGCAGGGATAACCCCCAAGTCAGAGCTGATCACTCAGCACCCCATTCAGTTAGGTACTGAAAAATCTCAAAGGCTGGAGGCTCCAGCACTTGATCTCTCACATGGTGATTTTTTTTCTCTGTCCAAAGTTCTCCTTGCTGCAGCCTGTGCCCATTGATCTTAAATTTTGCAAGGATGCAGTGATTTCTCACACTCAGCTGCTCTGTCACCGCAGAGCTGCTCCTCACAGTCGGCCCCAGCTCCAGGGCTGTCCCAAGTACAGGACTTTGCATTTGTTTTTGCTGAGCTTCAGGATGTTACAGCCAGGATGTGGTCCCACGGGTCTCCAGCCAGCCTTTTTTAGAGCAGACCTCAGCTAATGAAGGCTTACCACAATCAGCAGCAGAACCATTAGGATTTGTCTCTGCCATTAGTACTTTCTCTTAAATTCAAAGCAGTTCGCTCTCTAGAGGATTAACAGAAAGATAAAAGGGATGTGAAAAAAATATAAGACTGTCCCCATCCCTTCAGTCTTTTCTTAGGTGGTAAGACCTCAGAACTATGTAGAGCTTATCTAACAAACTGGCAGCACACAGCTGCACCCTCTGCTTCAGGAGGGCCTGAAGCTGTGACCGCTGAAGCAGAGACCTCTAACATCTTGCCTGAGAGAAAACCACTTGTGCTTTGACACACAAGGAAAGTTGTCCACTCTCTGGGACCAGCCACTTGAGGGAGCCAAGATGACGTGCGCTGAGAGCCAGCAGATTATATAAGTGTTTTAGCTGGAATCACTCTCTTTTTCTAAATCTTTTGGGTCAGAAAGCTCTAAAAACTCCTGTCTCAGATTTAAATGATTTTTAATTTGGCTTTCAAAGTCTTGCACAGTTTTTGTATTTAGTCTGTCACCCTTGATAACTTTTGATGGGTTGTGTCTTGGTTTCCAACAAATTTGATAGCTGTTCAGAAGTCTTAACATTAATTTCTACAAATTGCATGAAAACAGACAGAAAATAGTAATGAAAATAGGTGAAATGGGGTCCTTTCAACAACTTCTTAGCCCACAAAATTTCCTTCACGTCCAAGCCTATTGTCTCTATTTTAAACATTAGAGACTCTACAGAGGAAAAAGTTATAGGAGAGTTGTAGGAAAGCAGTTCTATACCACAGGAAATCAGGATCCAGTTGTCAAGGAGATACTTATTTAGATATTACCCAGTGACTTTTTCAATATGGTTCCCTTCCCCCTATCACCCCCACCCCACAACTCCCTCTCCCCAAGACTCAGGTACTATTTTCTCCTATTTCATGAAATCCAACCACTATTTTAATGTTGAGCCAGCATTTTGAGAAACATTATCACTCCAAGGAAAAAGCTCAGAGACTTTGTTTAGTTTTTTAGCCCATGGAATTTACCAGACAGTGAAGATTTCTCTAGGAAGCCAAGAGGTTTCTTCAACTCTTTTGTATCCCATGAGAAATCCTGCCTGTCTTAATAAGACTTCGTACTATCTGATTCAACTGTTCCAGTCTGAAGATATCCGCATGCCAACCACCTCAATGATCCTGTGTGGGGGTGGTGGGACCTTGTACCTATGGAGATCTTGTCCCTGAAAGCTTTTGCAAAGCTTGTTAAAGGAAAATAGTAAAACATTGTAAAAGTTTTGTAAATCATTGTTCAAGTTTCAGAAATGATCACTACGAGCCTATGGAAAGTGTCAACACAACCCTTTGATTTTACTTGTAATTAATCTCCATGCATGCTGGGGAATAGCGTTAGCATTTTGGCAGCAGTGTTACATTATGAGCTCTCATTTGTGTTTCTTTTTTTTCCCCCAGGTGGATTTATTTCTTGTCCACATCAAAATGCAGAGGCTGCTCCATCCATCAGGTCCATGACATGCAAAGGCGATGCTATCAAAATGCATCTTACAGCCTGGCAAGGAAACCTCAGCGTCAGCAGAGGCATTAGCAAGTGGACAGAAACAGATGCCTGAAACAAAGTTTTCATATTAGCAGTTACTGTATCAAATAAATAAAAAAATAATAACGAATGACAGCAATGACATCATTTCTCTGCATTGAAACATAACAGGCACAAGTCCAGCCTGTGATGCCACTCAACTGTAAGAATAACCTTAGAAAGACTCCACCTGGGACTAGGGACAGGATTAGCATGTGCCAGAAGGATGATAATGAACATCGTGCCTCTTGCCCAGAACAAGCCTTTCTTCTGAATAGAATATGTCAATTTAAGAGCATTAAATCCACGCGCTTTGAAAAAAGACCTCATTTTGAATTGAGTGTATGTGTGTCTCCTCCTCTCTCTCTCCATATACCTATATATGTAAACACAAACACACAGATATTTCTTTCCTCAGCCTCATAAAAGATTGAATGGCCTTTAGGTAAAATGCCTATACATGAAACTTCATCATATACAAATCTGTCACCTCCCAGAAGTCCCAAGTATATATTGCAGGAGCTATTGCAAAGGAGTAAAAACAAGTATCAGTACCATTCACCTTCTCTTGTCTTGTCCTTGTGTTCAGGAAAAAATGTGCCTATATTTAGAAAATAGAATTAGCACTGAAGCAATTTTCACATCACTGGTCCTTCAGCCTCCTCAAATATTGTTTGTGGTATCTGCTTTCATGCAAGAGGATGGGGCCACATAAAAGCAATCACAAGGATGGAAATGTTCTCAGCAGGAGGAAAAGGGATTAGCAAAAAGCAGAGGAATAAGACTGAATGTTTTGTAGTCCTGGCCATTCATATGCCATTTGAGCTATGTAGAGTGTTAACAGATAGGTCTAAAGATAAAGAATACATTATTTATTAATTATTAGGCTTTCAAAAAAAGGACCTGAATATGTTTGCTAATAAACTACATCAGATCACATCCATAGGAAGATACATGGATATAAACTGGCTGAAGTGAACATTTACAGGTCTTTGTGAGACCATTGAGGAACTTAGAGATAAAGTTACTTTACTTCTAGGGAAAACTACATAGAACAGTTTAATAAGTTTGACAGCATCTATATGTCATCCTATTCCTGCCCATCCCCAGCTTCTCTTGGGTAGGTATGTGTAACTCCAGATTTATTTCAGAACAAGATTTCTCCAAAGGAAAATATGATCCAAGGGAAATACAACACTAGAGAAATTAAATGGAGAAAACAAGCCACTGCTAACATAGCATGAAGGCTGTCTGTTGGGATTGCATGGCCTTCCAGGCCTTTTGGATTAGCAAAACAAACTGCTGAATGCACCAGTAAAGAATTAATTTACAAGCAGGACAGCCTGGATCAACTTTCTGAGGCCACTTTCTCACCAAGTCTGCATCTATATTTGCATCCCTGTCCAGCTCTGCTGAATGGAGAGCAATTAGCAGGGGAGGCTGGAGTGATGGTGACGTGTTCTGTGGTCTGGTGTCTTTTCATGGGCCAAGGAAAGAGGTACACAGGTACCTGAAGAGGTCCAGTCTATCTCCATGCTGCTCTGTATGGCATTGGCCATGTTCAGGGTCAAGACATGGGCCTTGAACATTAGGATGATTTTTGTGGGAAGGAGGTTATATAAAAAGCATTAAGAGTTGAGGACTTCAGACCTGCCAGATATCAAAGGAATTAAGGCCAGAAAAGATGGGAGAACAAAAGTATATATCAGAATCATGTCTAAATCTTTTGCAAAGGGAAAAGCCCTGATGGAGAAGGAAACCCTCAGACCATTAAAAAGTTTGTTTGGTGATGAAGTAGGAAGGGAAAAAATTTTCTTCTCCTCAGCCCTTGATTTCAGGACATGCATTGTATATTGTTTATTTACATATTTGTCCACTGCCTTTTGCTGTTGCTTTTCTTACAAGCTCACCTTGAAAACCACGCTGTGTTAGCCTTAGGAGACAATCTGAATGCAATATTGCTGTCTTAGTTCCTACCATTAACTTCTAAAACCACTGGTCAATGTTAATTGCTATTGGCAGGCGGAAGTTGCAGAGAGGAAGTCTCTACCAGTTATATTACAAAAAAAGAAGGGAAAAAGTGACAAAGAACACCAATGGATGTTCCAGGCTGCAAGCTAAACTCAGCTCATCCTAGAGAAAAGAGGGCTTTACCTCAAGGCACAAGGTCTTAGTACAGGCTTCATATTTTTGCTCATATGATTACTTACTTGTTTTATGGCTTTTATTCCATTGTCCTCAGATGGCCAGAAACTGGCGTGAGATGTAATTGAAAGAACAACCATTACCTGTGTTTTAAAAGGAAATCCTACACAAAAAAGGGGGGTTGTTTTGAACTAACAGGTTTTTTATATTCAAAGAGAAAAGGAAAAACTTTTTTTTTTCTGTTCTACCTGTAAAATTTTATTACTTCTTGGTTTTGAAAAGGTCACATCACCTGATGCAGTAATTGCATGCAGCTGTTATGTAATTGTTCCTCATATTTCTATAAAAAGGCAGTAATTGGAAGAGTTTCTTGGATGTTATTATGTGGCAGGTACCTCCTGGGGACATCAACAATAGCTATTCATCTGGAGGCAACGGTCCCCCATGGGGAGCTCAGAGCTGCCCGCAGGAGCTGGCGTGGACCCGGGGAAGGTTTGTGCTCCGGCTCTTTGCCGTGGAAGGCAACAGCGGAGCGTGGGCAGATGAACTTAGTGGGCTCCATCTGTCTCACCAGCTCAGTGAGTCAGCTTGGAAAGCAGCACCCCCATGCAGGCACCGTTCCCCACCCCAGGACCAGAAGCAAAAGTCCTCCACGTGTAAGGGGTAAATTCTACCAGGAGCCAAGAAATCCAGAGCAGTGCAGCTCTTGCTGCTTGGTGGTGGAGGGGAGCAGAGCAGGAGGGGAAGGCTCCTCCATTGTGTGACAATGCACATGATCAGGCGTGAGCTTGCTAGGACCTACCTGCTTCTGCCTCAGGCATCCATGGAAATGCTCCAGCTTTGATACATAGAGAAGGATTCAGAGCATTTCCCCACAGCCATAGAGCAAGCAAGGCACTGGCCAACTCCTTGCAAGAGAGACTATGCCCAGACTGAGAGCTCTGATTGCAGCAGTGTGTGAACCAGAACCCAATGGCTCCTGGCTCCCTCCTCCTTCCTGCCAGACACCCTAGAAGGGTCCACAGAGGACATCTGTCTCGGCAGGATGGATCAGGAAAGGTTCAGGGCTCCCTGTTTCCTGGAACACCCACATTGGGAGTAAATGCCAATATAATAGAGGGGAAAAAGGGCCCCTCTTTATTCCCTGCCACTGGCTGCAAAGCCCTCCTAGGGCTAAAGGTATGGACCACTCTTCCTAAGCCCACAAAACTGTTAAGTCTCCAGCTTTGCCTGGGAGGGATGACAATGGCTACACAGTAATGCACACTATTTACATATTACATTTACATCAGAAAACTACCTTCAAATACAGCCTCATACTTCATAACTCAGTGTTTATGAGTTTCTGTTCATAGGGGTTGTGGAGAAGCAATACATTTCCCCCCCCCCCCCCCGTGAGGCTGCAAAGCCCTCCTAGGGCTAAAGGTATGGACCACTCTTCCTAAGCCCACAAAACTGTTAAGTCTCCAGCTTTGCCTGGGAGGGATGACAATGGCTACACAGTAATGCACACTATTTACATATTACATTTACATCAGAAAACTACCTTCAAATACAGCCTCATACTTCATAACTCAGTGTTTATGAGTTTCTGTTCATAGGGGTTGTGGAGAAGCAATTCATTCCCCCCCCCCCCCGTTGACTGAACTGGGTGTCACTAATTCCCATATCCTGCAGGTTGGCAAGAACAAAATGACTGATACATACAGGACTCCCTCCCAAAGGGAGTGAGTGCCAAAATAACTCCTGTGAGGAGCTCCCCCTCGCTGGAGTGCCACCTAATGCTAACCGCCACGCCAGAGTTAATTGCAGCAGTCAGCTGTTGCGTTTCATCTACGAGTCCCGCTCAGTTTAATTAACCTTTGGGGAATTAGCATTTTGTTGACTTACGGTACCTGCTTTGAATTCCTGGCAGCGTTATAGAAACGCTGTCTTGATTGCAGAGTGACTTGTTTCACTCAGAGGGGGGTGATGCCTAAAGGCAATGCCTTTAAAGAACGGCCCCTGGCAAGCAGCAGGTTGATCCCGGGCCAGCAGAACCTGGAAGGAACAGCCTGTACCTCTACTGGTGCCTGAGTCATGCCCTACCACGCTGGAATTGCTCATTTGCCCTCTCCATTGGGTCAGGTGCAGGTTCCTTCTCTGCCCAAAGTTTCCTGAGCATTCTTCGTGCCTGTTCATCACCTTGCATTTAGTCATTTCCAAGCATCTGCTTCCAACTGGCAGCTGCTCTGCCTGCATTTACCAAACATTTGTGTTCTGACTGAAAAATCACCAGGCAACAACCTGCTGGTTGCAAAAAACAATACCCATCACAGGCAAGTGCAACTCACTACCTTACCTGGGACAGATTTCTCCCATATGCTCTGTCTCCTGGTGCACCGAGATGTTGGTAAGTCCACGGATGTGTCTGGCCAGGAATGAGATCAAAGTTTGGCTTGTGGCTGCCCAAGAACCAGCCTGGCCTTGGGATACAGCTTTGTTCAGGTTCCTTAAATCACACTAGCAGGAAAAGCTTCACCAAAGCAGCTATGTTCAGACACTGAAGAGGACTGTACTGCCACCTTCTTCCATGCCTCACCTTTATGACCTACAGCTATAGTAGGACTGTGGCTTTTCCCCCCCTTTGCTTATCTCGGTGACATCTGAGGAACCTCTGAGAGGGAATGACAGTGGTGCTGCAGCAAGTCAGGCTGGACGGGAACTGCTGCAGCACCGGGGTGCAGGAAAGGGAGGTAAAGCTGCTGTGGCACTGGCTGGTGGCAGGCTGGAGACATCGGGAACAAGAGGGCACGAATGACTGCTCCCAGTTCTTGCTACCACTCACCTCCCACCATTCTCCATGCCAAATAAATCCCATGCTTCTCACCTGAGGATTAAACACCACCCGTCTGGACCTCTCCTTCTTCCGACCAGGCAACATCTTGTTAGGGCATCTTCAGCACGGCTCAGCACGCTCAGCAACTCCTCCTGCAGCAGGTTGACTCTGGCTTCCTACACCACCTGCTCTCTGCTTGACTTTTTCCCCCGCCTTTAGAGAGTGCTGAAAACAGAGGAAAATCAATGTGGCTTTGTCAAATAATTGTGGATTGTGTTCTGCACAGAGAACTGAAAAAGCACACTAAAGATATCCTGGATCGATAGGATTCATGCAACATTTGAGTTTCTGTTAGCTCTCATACCAACGCACCTTCATCTTTACCTTTGGCTTGGGGGACTTTAATGGGATCTACTGTAAAAACAGTTTTCTGTGGAAAGGGTAAGAAGGGTATAATCTGTGAAAAACAACAGGAAATGCTGGTTTTCCCATAATCATACATAATTATAAAAAAAATACCACTTTTCCTTCCCCACCAGACATCTATAAACTTCTTACTCAGAAGTCTGACTGTAATTTAAGAACATAAATAAGAAACACAAAAGACAAAATATAAAAAAGATGGATCCAGGTCATTTAGAAACCTAATGCACAGATATTCAGCCATTTTCCTGGTAATTTAGCAGTCACTTCAGAAGACAACGTAACATTTACACCCTTTGCAGCAGAAAAAAAGCAAAGTAGATTGCTATCAAAGGAGTTCTCTTCAGCACATTTTCTGATTGAGGTTTGGCGGGTTTTTTTATCCCCTCTCCAGGTGTATCAGTCTTGGTGTGAAACAGAATAATTACTGCTGGTTTGTAAAGAAAGGTGCTAATTTGAAGCACATTCTGGGCTCTTTTCTTGAGGATATTTAGTTGAAAACCTATTCTTTTCAACTGCATTTTTCAATATTGCTAAACTAGTCTGCCATTCAATGCAGGAGTGACTGATTTGCTGCCATGTTGTTTGAGACTACAATTACCTGACTGCTTGTGTATTCCCACTTCTTGGAAAAGTCTTTGGTAGAAAATGATATCATTTATCTCATACCAATTTCCTATTTTATGAGAAAGTGAATAAGGCTCAGTTTGACTGTTTCTGTTCTGCATTTACAAGGGATGAGGGATCAAAAGGGCCCTTGCTTCATCTTGCTGATATGTTTCCTATAAACAGAGCTAGTCGCAATTTCAGAGGCTGAATTTGCAGTAGTTACTTTGCCAGGGAAAACATTTTATCATTTGGTTGTTTTTATAAATAAACACAAGGTTTGATTCACCAGTCCACCTACACTCAGTTTTGTCAATGGAGTTACAACAGAACAGCATTAGTTTTATAAAGGGAGAATCACGCTTGTGATAGTCTATTACTAAGTAACATATTTTTTTCCCTGTCCTTCTACCTAATAATATTCTTTATTTTAGGGTATTATTCACCCCTCCCTGCCCACCTCAGTGCAGGATATTCCCCATATTAGCCAGGCTAAGAGCAGAGGTTTGCATCTTAACAAAAGCAGTGGGTCAGTTCTCTTCCAAAATCCACTGGATGAGCTGAGACATCCCAACCCATCCCCGTTTCTTAGAAAGAAGCATTTGGCTGGGCTGTTCAGGGTTTAGTTTTTCACCTAAAGATGTAAGGAAACTCCCAGCTAAGATAATAGTGCCATCTACATTAACTATGAACCTAATTCTCATCTCTCTGCGAGGAGAGACAAACCCCTGAGCTCCCTGGGAGGCTCACTGGCACTGGATCCTTCTGCTCAGGTCACTCCCTGCCCGAGCTCTCCATCCCACAGCAGGGGCCTGGCTTTCAGGAAATACCCCCCTGAACCTCAGCCATAATAAAAAAAACCTCAACCATTAGCATCAGCCTTGGCTGATGCTGCTCGGATTAAACCTCTACCTTCCTGAAACATTTTATTTATGACCTTTTTGCATTTTATTTTACATCGTCCTTCAGTTAAACAACAGCAGAGAGTATGGAAGTGAAGGCTGCTCTGGCGATGATGGATGAGGCTCCCCAAGCTCCCCCTGCTTTGCAGCCCATGAGTCATTTGCTAATTTCCTCAGCTAAAACTGACAGACAATTACCAGGCATTTCATCACAGCCAACCAGACTTTATTTTTTTTTTTCCAGAGCTCGCTGTCTATCTTTTGATAGCAACAACTAGAAAAACTGCTGCCTACCACATTGTCTCTCAAAGTTTTAATATTTTATCACTGTGGCTTTGAGTTCTAGCTCTCTTTCCTCTCCTAGGGTTAACATCATTTAAATACAATATTGTACAATACAATGCATCTTTGTACAATACATCTTGCATCTTTGCTGCTCCAAATAGTTCTCCTGTATCCGCTTCTTTACTGCACATTACTGAAAAACTATTCTGTTAACTGTCTCATGGAAATATGAGAATAAATCACATTATTGGTGGGTATTTTTCAAGGATTTTTGTAAAAGGAACTCAGTGGATCTCCCAATTCTTTATTGCGGATTATGATGTTTAATGTAAATTTAGTACTCATAGTTTAATGCAATATCTAACAAAAATCCCTGAGATTTTCCCCCATCCTCCAGCCCTTTGGCTGGACTCTCAGCTTCACTAGACAGTGTTACACTGCTTGGCAGATCAGACCAAATGCTGCAGGGTCTTTCCACCCCTCAGTAGGAAGCTCCTTGGATGCTCCAGACCTTCAGTAAAACCCTCCTTGGTGCGCGGGGTGCTAAGGGCAGCCCTGTGCTCCACAGCCTCTGGCTGTGACCACACTCCCAGGAGATCCTGACTGCCTTGTCACCGAGACCTCCTGCTCCTCAGGTACAGGGGCTGTTCTCCACTGGCAGCAAGGTGACCAAGCGTGTGCCTGGGACCAGCTTCAGAGGCTGCTGCCCTGAACTGAGCAGCCTACCTAAGCAGGGCAAGGAAAGGACCCTGTGTTCTCCCAGTAGTTGATATAGGGGAAGCTTTGTCAGCCCATGATCTACTCTAACAAAGGGTGCAAGATGTTTCATGCTCATTCAGAAAGCCCTCAGTCACCCAGTCCTTGTAAGAGCTTTTAAGAGATTTTATAATGCTTCTAAAACTGGGACATCCAAGCCAAGAGGTAGTTTTGATTCTTTTCAAACTGCTCAAATGCCCCCTTTTAAACCACATGGTCTTCCCTTGCAGAGGATGCCCCAGCTTCAGAGAAATGGTGTACCACACTGCTTTAAAAGGCAACATCCTCTTTGGTAGGACAAACAACGTACATCTGTGCAGCCAGTCGAAGCTAAAACGATCTTAGGATCTTCTGTTCCCAGGAGAGCCCCAAGAGTACTGGTGTTTAAAAGAGTTCTGGTGTTTCATTTCATCATGTTCTCTGAATGCTGCCATCTTCCTCTCAGCTTTTTAACTGTTTTCAGATGCTAAATCCCCATTATTTATACAGAATAAGTAGCGTTAGCTCCGAACACAGGAGTGGTTAGCTCTGAACACAGTTTGGGAAGAGACCACAGAGGCCTGTTAGCCATATGCTGAAAAAAAGGCAGCTGAAAAGGGCAAGTACTTTAGTCTCTTATTGCTTAAGCCTGTTTCAGGCTAAAATTTATCCCTGGCCATCTTAAAGCCATCTTTCTTTCCCCGTGTTTATTTCCCCACCTTCTAGCATAATTGCTAGAGAACAAGCATACCTCCTTGATGAAAAGGCCCTTCTTCTCAATGGCAATGTCCCCATCCCTCTGCCTGTCCTTGTGATCCCGTCTGCACCTGCATCCACTGAACTGCATCTTCAACACCAGCAATCAGAGCTGCAGAAAATACTCCAGGCTTTGGTCTCCCTATTGAAAACACCTGGAAGTTAAATCTTACTGTAAGGCATAAAATGTAGAGGAGTGCAAAAATTAACCAAAATCAGGCATACTTTAGGAGTAAAAATATGACGTTAATTAATCTAGTTTCAAAACCCACACACACCTCTTGCTCTTGGCTGGATCTTAACAGCTGGCAAGAACTCAGACGCTAGAAATGTTTCCTGTTCTTATTTACTCAACTAAAAATAGCTGTCAGTGTTAAAGCATCCTAGCACTTCATTCTAGCACTTTTGCATTCTGTATGTGTGCATATATATCTTTCTCTAAAAAAAACAAAGGTGTGTATTCATATATATAGTATATGTGTATTCATATATATTCACACATATGTAAAATGCATACAAAATATGTACATGGGCATATAAATGTGTATGCACACATACGCATACATGCACGTACATATATCAATATGTAAATAAGCACACATAAGTGCTTCACTGGTATTTTCTATGAAGTAGAACATGCAACCAAGAGCAGCCGTGCAAAGAAATTCATATATAATGCGTCTGACACCTGGAAAATTCCTTGTGGGAGAAATTATTTTTCTGTACAGTGTTCTCACTCCAACTTCTGTAACTTTAAAAAACTTGAGCTGTCGCTTAAACTACCTTAAACTAAGGTGATTCAATCATCTCCCTCCACCTGCAACTCTGAAGCAGCACTTGGTAATCGCACATGGTTTGTTCTCATAAAGTATTGATGTCACAAGCACTTATTGCTAGGGTAATCAGAGGAGGAAAGGTTACTGTCAATGTATGTGCACATTCATATGCATGACTTCTGCCTATTCTTTGTGTCTCCCCCTTTGATTCCCCAATACATCAAAAGGCTTGTGGAGGACCCAGCTGAGCAGCCACCCGTGGCGAGGAGGTGCTCTGAGATAGTTTGCCATCTTATCACAATGGCCCAGAGAAGGCAGGTGGTCTTCCCAGCTGGGCTTTCTGAAAAGGCCTGCCTGAAAATGATTGTTTAAATTTCAGTGCTCTCCGGGAAAATGTTGTGCCCTTCCTTTAATGTGTCTGGTTTTGTTAGCACGTTGTCCCAGGCTGGCAAGCGACGCCAGTGCTGTTATTTTGTACAGACTCGGTGCTCTCGTACGCCCGCTGAGCTCAAGGGGTGGCCAACGGCAGTAGGGAGGGAGCTGGATGCGTCCCCCTGGTCCTGTGTGAGCCAAACCTGGCTCTGGCTTAGAGCTGTTGAAGGAGCTGCCCTAGCTCACAGCCCTGGCAGAGTATTGCAGTGGATTTCCACCACACTTTGCCTTCATTTGTCCCTTACGTTTCTGGCCTTTGAGACACACACTGCTGAGAACACCCTCGCCCCTTCTGACCAGAATTGGGCCGCTTTACCTAGCCAGAGAAAGACAACCTCAAGCGTGATGAATCCACCCACACTCATCTCATTTTGCTGCTATCCTAGACCAAATACAGGCACAAAGATTTGGGGGGCATGAGGGTGACAGGGAGAACAAGGGAAATAGGAGGATTTCATTTCTCCATGGATAACATCAATCAGCGCAACTCACCCTTTCACATGATGTGGTCCTATGCAACCAGTTGGTCACCCCAGTGAGGTGGGGACTGCATCCTTTTCTGACTCTTTTTTTATTCCTGAAGCTTCTTTTCATCTTTATGGGGCTGTCTGCACAGTTGGGTCACTTCCATAAGGATTGCTGCTGATCCTGGCAGACTTGAAGTGGGAGTGTGACTGCACTCCAGGGTGAAAATAAACCTCGCCTTGACAAATGCAGCATAATGAAAGAAAAAAACAAAAACAAAAACAAAACCCACAATCTTGTGAATTTGGGAACTGGCATTTATTTGAAACTGATCTTGGAAACAGCTTCAAAACTACCAGTCATCAAATCCAGTAAGTTTGTGACTGTAAGTTATGAGAACAGAAAAATACTTTGTATTTCAAGAAGCTCCATTCTCTATAATGGCCAAAGGCCCCAGGAATCAGAGGGAAGGTTTTACTGACTCTCATTAGAGGAAGGCAGAGGCACTGAGCGCTGTAAGATAATATTTTCTTTATTTGCCCCAATCAAGTTATACAAACAATTTTTCTCTGCGGGAGGAAAATGTACCCATTGACTGTGAACGCAGAGTCACTATTATCAGAACCAGTGCCATTATTAGTGAGATGAATAAAAATCAAGAGCATGAAGCAGAGACATTATGCTCAGTGTTTTTTAAAGGCAGCTGTAACAACAAATGTATGGAGAGAAACTAACCAGATGGGGTTCAGAAGTACCAGAAACAAATAAGTCCTGTAGAAAAAAATGTTATTATATTTAATAAAAAAATAGTAATTTTTCAGGTTCTTTGGAGGAAACACACAATAGCCTCCAAAAGTACACCCTCACTATAAAAAAAAAAGATCTATGAAATAGTTAAGAAACAGATGGAAGCACTAATACTACCTTCATGGACGTTGTGTGGATCCATAGGGCCCTTGAATAGCAGTTTTATATACCAGAACTCACTCTCTTTCAGACCAGTGGGCATTGGCCGGGCTTTGTGCCCATTTGGGTGACGCTCTTCAGCAAAACTCAATTTTCTCTCAAACTTCTGCCCTGAGTGGGTGGGTTCCTAAAACAGGGCTGTTGGAAAGAGATCTCCTTCATCTGTGTTTCCCAGCTGGCTCCGCAATACTGGGGTCAAACACCAGTTGTAAAAAGGGAAAAAAAGAGGGCAGAAACCTATTTAGAAACACCCAGGCTCCTTAAGTGCTGCGTCTGCACCAACACCAACCCCAACCCCATCCTTTCTCAGTGACCCAATAACATTTAAAGAGTTTTCACTATATCCTTTCCAAATGTCACAACATGGCTCTAATTTTGGTTTTGATCACAATGACTTCAGCTGCCATTGAAAGATGAGATAAAATCAACCCCCACACCAAACAGGCCCAGTTCAGCACAGCTAAAACACCAGAAGGGAACATCACCCATCACAGAAGACACACCACAACCTGGCTTCCCCACATACATCTGCATACAGAGTCCTCCACTGACTATGGGTACAGATTTTAGGCATTTTCAGTGCACAGAGGTGACAGCTGCTCATTTTGGGATGGATGGCTGAAACCCTACTCTCACCTAAAGGAGCCTGGCAAAAGCTTTGTAAAGATCCTACAGAGCATTTCTTCCCTTAAGGCCCCATCTTGAGACACTTCCTCATAAGGAGAAGGTGGCTCACGATGGGAGAAGAGGAAAGGACAAAATCCTTGAGAGTACACAGAACAATGTTAATTAAGTGAGGCGCTTACTAGCGATGACAAAAGTAACAGAGAAAATTAAAGACACCTCTTCAGAGAGTTCTCTGCAGTGCAATTTCCTACTAATCAATGCAGCAAAAATGCTTTCAACATCAGGCTTTGAACACAGCCACAGTTTACCAACCTGTTGTTGTGTGTAAGGTTGCAGAGTGTGTAGAGAAGTCACTGTTCCACCACGCCAGGGCAGTGAAGAAGCACAAGTCCTCTGGGGTTTGCTTATGTGTTGATGAGCCTCTTGTTCATCTTTCTCATAAGGGTAGAAGGAAAATTTCTGCACAATGGAAAATTAGACTATTTACTCAAATGTCTACCTCTCATCTAGAGCTAATAAAAGGTCTGGCAGTGGTACAGACACAGCAAATCAAGAGTATATGTGCGGGGGCAGAGGAGGGGCAGGGATCAGTCAGCTCCATGATTTCACCCTCACAGTGGAGTAAAACTGCACCCACAGCCCACATAGCCCTGATGCACGGCCAAATCATGGTACAAGGCCCAAGTGGCCTCAGAGGGATGTCTCCTTAGGCATCACCACACTTTCCTCTCTGCTTTGTCTTGGCCCCACCTGATGCTGGTTCCTTCTCCCTTGGTGCAAACACAAGAGAGGGACCAACTCACCCCTCAGGTAGCTAAAAATCTTCCCCCAAATACCAGGGCGAGTTGATGGAGGTGGTCATCCCCAGTGACCGAGCAGACCTGCCAGCTGAATTGGGCTGCTGGGTTGCTGCGGTGGGTTAAGGTCAGCAGTGCATAGCCAAGGAGCATCTCCCTTTCCCAGAGCCACACCGGGTCCTTGCCCAACACCCTCACCTCAGGCATCCATCCTGCCAGGCACAAGCACTTTGTGTTCCCTCAGAGCTTCATTTGGGCTCTATGTAACATGCAGAGAGTTGCAACCCCCTTCAAAATCCTCCATCTGGACTCAGCGGTAAGTGCATTCTCCTGCAGGACTTCGCACCAAGCACATTTCTCAGCAGGGCCTAAATGTTACTCCTATTTACAAAGCAACCAAACTGAAAAAGGGTTTTACAAGCAACCAAGAACAAAAATATACCTACCCCAAAATGTTTATGGTTTCTGTAAAAAGAGAGAAGCTGTCTGCAGAGGTCAGCCAAGGTTTTCCAGAGGGAACTAGTGCCCCTCCATGGGGGCATGATATTTTGGTGTGCTGCAGAGAGGTGGGTGGACCATGGCACTCAACCTATGAGATCTTTCATACAGCATCCTCTGGGGATGCCTGGCTCTGCTCTGTGGGCCTGAAAACAGTCCCCACACTTGGGCTGCTCCTTTGGTCTCTGCAGACAAGTTGTGGGGACGGGCATCGCAGCATCCCCAGGGCTACCTCCACCCCCCCTCACCTGGCAGGGTTGGCTTTTACTGAGATGTTAAAAGCATTTTTGGTAATAGCAGGCACAGCACCAATTTGGACTTCTCTTTCTGCACATCCAGATTGTAAAGGCTAAATTGTATCTCGTTCCCCCTCCACCTCTCCTCTGAAAAGAAACCCAGCAATCATCAGCACAATGGCACTTTCTATTTCTGATGAGCCTGTGGAGAAAGCTAAGCTGCAGAACGAATGGAAACCCAGCACCCAGGCAGAAGAGTTTCTCTGCTTTTTTAAATATTAACTGTGCTCTGATTAATACAAGTCGATCTGTCCCCCTGATCGACAGGGGGGTGCAGCACCACACTGATGGAGCCCACGTGCTGCAGCTGCCTTCCTCTTATTTTCACCTCTTTAAAGCCTCCCACCACCTCTCTTGCAGACACTCATTTAAACTCTTGCTTAATTCACAAGTATAAAACGGGGGGGGGGTTTGGAATGGACTTAGATTGATGCTATAAATAACTCACAGCCGGTTTTATCTGACATGGGTGAAAATCAGAGAGACTGTACCCCCAGCCTCTGTATGTTAAATTGAATTCATCTATCGAGAGAGGGAGAAATAGATTATTTTTTGGGGGGGTGGAGAGAGCAGAGAAAGATGGACCAGCTTGATAAAACCAGTTCACTCTTTACTAAAGAGGCAGAGACAAACATCTGGGGCTGGAAGCTTTATCAAGGGATATTCTCACTTGAAGGCATTACTAATGTCCATCCTGAGCCTCCCAAGACACAATCTGTGGACTTCATCCCAGCTCATACAGGAATATGAGGAGCAGAATGCAAAGATCTAATTTCAACAGAGCAGGTCAGCGCTTTTTTCAAGACTGCCTTAAATTTCTTATATCTAAGTACCTAAATAAACAGCCAAATAATTTGAAATACCTAGCAAATGAGAAATCCATAGTTGGAAAATAAGCAAAACTGATTATAGGAGTCTAAATTTAGGCACTTATTTTTAAAATATTAGTCACTACAAGCAGAACATGAAGCCCAGTCAGGCTCTTGTTTTTTTTTTTTTAAGCTTTCTGTTTCATTTTCTTCAGTTTTTTCATTCTCCTGGTTTGCTTCATTGACATGGGTTTAACTGTAACTACCCAGAACCCGGAGAATGCAGCTCTTCCATAGAGGCCACCAGCCTTTGGGATCCTCCTTCACGGATCAGAGGTTCAGCCCAGTTAGTTCCACTGAGAGGGGCCAGCAGGGAGGCACAGTTCCCCAGGCTCCTCTCCTGCAGACTGTAGCTCTGCCAGGCAAAGACCACCCCAGAGGTACAGCAGTGGAAGCAAAGGAGAAAGCCAGTTTGCAACTGGAATCCTTAAGGCCTTTGGTAACGTAAGCAGCAATTGTTACTGTTACTCAGCTGCTGTTATTAATGGCAGTAAGTAGCAATATTAGACCCTGAATAAGGATTTCCAGAAACAACCCTCAACAAACAGCCAGCAGATAAGTCAAATTAGCATAAAAGGAAGAGGTATCCTCTTTTCTCTAAGGGAAGTCCATTCAATCTAAGTAACAAAAGCCATATGAAAAGTGAGTATTTGAAAGTATACAGGGGCCACCTTCTCCACCTTGTTTTGCACCTTAATTAGACAGTGATGTGTAGGATGGTAAGAAGAAAAGAGTGGTGATTATTAAGATTTGGTGTGACAGTGAAACTTGCAAATACAGCTTGTCTCCTGCTCTCTCATTTTCTTGGCTTGGACACTTGTGGGACTGTGGGACTCGGATTGGATATAGATTTCATTTAACAAGATACTTCATATGCTGTTTGGATTTCACAATGTTTGTGCGAACATGAGACTAATTAAAGTGAAAGACAGCAAGAAGCTGCTAACAGTTTCCTTTTTTAAAAAGAAAATAATTATTAACTTCTTATTTTTACTTTCTGGTTCTTTCAAAGATTAAAATAAATCTCTTTATATAAGTCTATAGCAGCTTCAATGATATGGCTTTGCTAAAGCATCAAAAAAATCTATCAGCTTTTCCTTGTGTCTAAGAGGTTGCATCTCTCCCTGCTCTGCTGAAGGAATTTGGGGTCCAGGGCATGAACACAGAGACCAGCACAAGCCATCTTAGCACAGGTAACGCAGGCTGAGCTGTTCCGCCATGCCCACAGGGAGCTCCAGCCTCCAGTCTGGCCTGGAGCTGCTGCACAGCCAAGATAGTTTGGTTGCCTCCTACCTGTTCAACGGCCCCAGTAAATAAGATGGTGTTTGGCTGGTGTAATTTGCTAGAGAGCCTTCAGACAACCTCCAGGGCTGTGGGAGGCCTTTGTGGGCTGCAAGAAAGGGAAACAGCTCTGGGCTGGGGGCAGAGTTGCCAGCACTCCCCATGAAGTCAATAACTGGCAGCAGCTTCACTGCAGCTCATACCAGCTCCTGTGTGTCCCTACTGAATCACCACACTCTGAAGCACCAGGCAAGACACAACTCAGCTCAAGGGGTAAAATGGAGGTGAGGAAAATTTTCCAACAAGCACTCAAGGTTCCTACTGTCGCTGCCAGTGGCGCACACCCCGTACTTAGGTGACTGAAAACTTTTCCACACTGAAGAATAGCTTGGTCTGCCTTCCTGAATAGTAATTGTAAGCCCCTTAGGACTCGCTTGGCTTTGTTGCTTTGCAGCCTGCGCCACTGCAACTCATTTGAAAACTGTGCTACATCACCCCAGAACACAAAGGAGAGCTGAACTCCATCTGGCCATGCAAAGTACATACATAAGGTCTCCTGCTTTTGTTAGTAATGTATTACCAGCGAGAGAAGCTCGTTCTTTCTTTCTCATAAAGGCCTGGCTACTTTATAGATGGATGAACTTATTGAAAACCCAAGCACCTAAGCCCATAGTTCAAATTAATATTGTAGCCTACGGCATTCTGCCATTACTGCAGAATGTAAGAGCAGAAACTACTTGCAGGAAGGTAGAAAAGTATTGAATTTTTTAACATTAGAGCTAGGTAATTTTCTTAGATAAAACCAAAACTTTACCAGGGTTGATTTTTTTTCCCAGCCCAGGTTTTTTTCCAGCCTGCATTTAACTCAAATTCTCTCTTGCATATGTACTTTGGGGGGCATAATTACTGTCATTTAGGGCATAGACTTTTCCAAGGCACTCAGCATCAGCTTACCTGTGTTCCCATGGGAACCAATGAACATTTACTGACCAAACAGAAACAAAGCAATGCTGCAAACTTTCCTGAGATGCAGCACACGGACATCCATGTCTCTCATTGCATCTCTAAAATGACTCCTACAAGTAAACCTGCAAAACAGGAAACAAAAGGGGCCAACATGTTCAGCTGTCCACTGGGAATGAGACCAAGCAGATGCTGTTATATACATTAACCTTAGTAACCTGAGTATGGGGAGCTGCTGGGGAACAAAATGCAGATTTCTACAACTTGATATAATGCTCACTGCATTGGCAGAGCCCTCAGACCAGAGTTATATTTAGGTCCAAAGGCTTCCCTGTGCCAGAGCAGGGATGTGACAAAGAGCTGGGACATGATATTGGGCTCTGCAGAACTCACTGGAGGTTGCAGCACTGGGATCTGTTTTGAGGTTGGAGGAACAACCCTGCTGTCACCTCCCAGTGACAGGAAAACATTTGACTGGAGAGGAGCACACATTCTCCAGAGCTGGAAGCACAAATGGCCCTGCAGTCCTCCAGAACAAGCCATGTCTTACAATCACTGCCCTCTCAGTCACCCTCACTCATCCCAGTCCTCCAGGTGAAGAGCTGCCTTGGCAAAGCCTGCCCTCCATTTCTCTGGAGTTTTTGTTGCTGTGGAGATGGTACACCCACATCCACTCCTTTCATGCAGGTTCCCTTGGGTCAGGCTTCTCAGCAGAACATGCAAAAATGTATATTTCTATATTCAGGGATTTAAAAAAAAAAAAGCATGGCTTTGCACTGAAATGGCATGAAATTTAGAAGCTATATCTATACAGGCCAGATCTTAGTTAACTTTCAGTATTTCATTACTTAATCTGTGAACCTATAAAATCTGGAGCCAGACTTTATGGGATCTGATGTATAGACTAACCAACCTTGGAGAATTTTAAGTTTTGGTATCGAATACTTGCACCCATAAAGAGCAAAAATGGTCAGATCCTGCCCTACTGTTCCCTATTTTAAATGCAAAGGAAAACTGAACAAAGCAGAGAGGAAAAGCAGGTTAATGTGAAATAAAATCTATCTTCCATCTCTCTGTAACGAAGGAGCCAAGCATCCTCTGTTTCTCACAGGAGACTGGTGGACTTCCACATGCAGAACCCAAGCACCGTTGCTGTCACACCAAATCTGCAGTGCCTGATAACAGATGATCAGGGCTTACAGAGCTGGCTGGTAGTTACACTGAGGTACTGAAGGGAAAAAAAAAAAGAAAAGAAGAAAAAATAAAAAGGGAGAGAAGAAAACCTAGCTGTTATTAAGATATTATCACCTTATAGGATTTTGTCTGTCAACAGCTTTCTGGAGATGTTAACATAATCTGTGCTGTGTAAGAACCGCCGGGAAGGCACAGATGTGATCAGTCACAGAGCCTGTCAGACACATGCTAAATTTCAAGTGAATCTGTAGAAGTATCAAAAGTGGGACTATGATACCTAATGTCACACAGACACCAAGCACCAGAGGTGTAGTTACATCTAGGCCTGATCCTGCATTTCTTCTCTACTCAAAAATTTCTCTGTAGCTATTTTTGGATACATACAAGATGCAGAATGAAGTCTTGTCTCTATTCAACTCCTTCCACAAAACTTTCTCTTCCTCCACCCATCTAACAAATTGCATCTTTTTTATCTGTTGTTGGCTGTTGCGGTAAGTTTACTGGCCACAACACACCAAGAAGTCACTGGCAGTAATTAAGTTTGTTTTTAAATGACTGACAACCACTGCCACAGGGAGGCAAACAGAGACAAATGAGAGGAGGACAGAGGGGCAGAGGCCGATGGACACCTCAGCACAGACCATCCTCACATTGTGCTCAGCTTTTAAAATGGGATGTCTGTAGGTCCTGCTGGCCCTGTACCAAAATACTCTCGGTGCTGAGAGTGCACAGCAAGCAGGGGACTACTTTAAGACAGCTAATAGCAATCACCAAGGACAGGGCCTAAATTTAAATCCTGCCCTTAATCAAGGAATGAAAGCCTTGCTGCGGGTGACTGGCACGTACTTTCCTCACAAAATAACTCGGTGCGTGGATTCCCCCTCTGAAGATTATGTGCCTGAATTTCTCTTTTCCAGAGAGTTGCTTATCTTTTCATCTGGCTTAAAGCAGGCCCACTGAGGGCATGGTGGCATCTTTATTCCGTCATCTTCCTCCAGCCTTGCCCTTCTGAGAGTTTATCTATCCGATTCTGTCAAGTCATCCTCTCAGACGGTGCCCAGGCCGATTCTTTCGACGCAGGCCTTAGTTACAAACACTTTTCCTAGATTTACTACCCAAGTCCATCTTGGCTTTACAGTCCCTTCCCTTCCTTCCACCAACCTGCAGCACGAAGCCAGGTTTCTCTCCTGTCAGCTGAACAACTCCTCTGCATGGTCCTTCCCTGGCCCTCGGTGTCTCCTTCCTCAGTGTCTCCTCACCACAGCGCTTCCTCAGTGCCCGCCGTGCTGGGCCCCTCACACACCTTGCTCCTCACTCCCTCTCCAGCAGCTTTTGTGGTTGTACACTCCATGCAGCACAGCTGTAACGACGTGCCCAGTCCTCAGCTGAGACATATTTGCTCTCTTCTCCTCCAAAGCCCTCTTCTGGGAAGTCCCCGCTCCCCCAGGACCTCACAAAAAAAATCGCCCTGTTTCATTTAAATTCCACAGGCTGTGTGCTGGGAGATAAATGTTGCATTTTACTGAGATCTGACAGACTTGTGCTGTCTTGAAGCCACTGCTTAACAGCATAAATTTAAACACGTGTAACACCACTTGCAAAGGTAAGAATCTGTGGTTGTAAAAATACTTTATAAATAAAGAGTTAGGCCCTAATAATTCATTAGGTTTCCTAAATGTGAATAAACAGATGAGCTACTTGTATGTTTATAATACGGCAATTATTTTAACTTGATGCTTAATAACTATGAAATTGTTTTGTCAAAATCTCTTTATGCTTGCAAATAAGCAATTACTTTTAATCATCCACAATAAAGCTCATTAAGTGATTAAGAGAAGATGACCAGTTAAAACACTGGCTTCAACCAGAATAGATGAGACCACCTGATGGTATCTCTGGTACAGGCTGCGTTTCAGGCAAGAGCAAGTTTTGTGTTCCCATCAAAGCACACATTTTGGACATCACTAAACATGATAGATCCGATTGTGGGGGATGCACAACAGGGGAGAAGGCCAACGCTTTTGCCTGCATGAAGTTTCAGACTCCATTTGATTTTATTTTTTTTTCTTCCTTCAAAGAGCGCAGAGAACAGACTGCGTTGCCAACTGGAGCAGTTTCACTGAACCGTAAACGGGCGATGCTTGAAAGCCTGTCACTGAGTCTCCTGATCAGAAATGAACAAACAGCAGGCGTCGGAGGACAGGCACATACACAGACACAGTGTATACATCGTGCTGTTGGATTATTCAGCTACCAACTTAGAGCTGGAGAGGTTCACAGCTGTAAGAAGAGCCACACAAGGGTACTTAGCAAACAACATTTCCAAGAGCACTTCTTGGCTTTTTAATAGCATGAGAGGACAAAGCCTCCCTGAAACTCCTTCCACGCCATGTGTGTGACAGGGGTGGGCAAGTGTCCTCAGTGCACCTCGTCACAGGTCAGCTTCAGGGCTGCACCATTACATTGTCCAACACCTTCGCAAAACGAAGCTTGAAACATTCTGCCTCCGGCACTCGCTGTGCCTGCAGGCTGATAGCCTTTGGGCTCAAAGCCGTGGCCTTATGGATCCAAGACAGGGTGACAAAGAGCCAAAGACATTTCACAGTATCTTCTCTACGGGGGTGAAACAGCAGTTTAGAAATCAACTGGCAATTTCACAGAAAACAATTGATTTTGTCTCTTTAAGTGACATATGGGGAAAGCAGTTCACTGTTAACCTGTGATCTAGGGAAATGAAGATCAGGAAAGAGAAATCAAATCTGTTTCTTTTCTATCAGGCTATTTCACCATATGCAGCTCTAAACTTTCAGGCCAAATAGAGAAAAATTTCAGGCTAGCCTGAGGAAGTACATGGAAGCTCCTGAGGAAAATCTCTTGGGAAACAGGTGGTGCTATATAAGAACAAACTAGCAGACAAAAATACCTTTCTTGGTAACTGCAGAGGAAGGTTATCATGATTTTGAACTCTCTGCACCACGTGGCAAGTCTCATCATCCACTGCCAGATTCTCTCATGTATATTTTTTTGTGTTATGCTGGGCAGATGCATTTTAAACAAGACTGAGGCACCAAAACTGTATTTTGTGCTGCAAGTTCATTCCTGCGCGGAGCGACAACACATTTCAGGCAGGATTTGGTGTGAATCTGTGGAACATTGATTTCAGAGAGGTCACATGCAGAAAAGCCTCTGCTTCAGCAATGTTAATCTTTCCCCTTGATCTTCAAGAAATGACAAAAGGAAGTTTTATAAAATGTCTGTCTTGCCTATGAAAGATGAATCATACTGCTTTTCAATAGAGCCGCAGGTTGCCAAGGGACCCTCTTCAAGGTTACTGAGTACCTGCAAAAAAACCCCACATTTTTTAAGGTTTTCTACTACTTAGAAAGGAAATGAGGAAGAAGATGAAAACAGACAGATGAAAAGTTGACTTAGCTGACTGGAAAACACTGTCACCCTGGGAAATGTGAAGCAAATTATGTAGCACAATTTGAATGATGAGAAATTGGTTTAAGCCAATATTTTGTTAACCACCTCCTCTTGCAATTCCACCCCTCCCAAATCCCCAAAAGCTGGATTCAGCCATAGTTTGACTTCAATATGTACAGCTTACGTCAGAAGATTTTACACACTGGAGTTAGAGACACAGCAGTAAGGACCAGAGCACAGGAGGCTCCATCACCAGCATATATACATTAGATTACAGCAAATAATTCAAAGCCATTGTCTGCATTCGCACTGAAAAGTGCACTTGCTTTCTCAGCTGATTGCCTCTTCTGGGTTCTGTTCTAGTGCTCAAAGTTACCGCCATAAAAGTGAATGTTAATTTAACCCAAAAATCAAATTATTCACAAGCAGTGACTTTCAATTCATCATGGGCAGCAGCTAGGTAGGAGTGCTAATCCCACAAACTACTGGTTGCCCCACTTACTTCAGAAAGTAAGAACACACCACGGGCCTTTGGTATGCAAACAGAAAAGAGACAACAGCATATCAACCATACACATAGGTGGGAACACCCACCTGATACCCTACGGGCATGAGGAAAGTGGGACAAACACATCACAGGTCTTTCTGGGTACTTCATGAGGCGGGTCAGCAGCTGCAATAATTTGGAGACTACCGGTCCTAATGCAGCCCTTTTCTACCTGACACCACAGCTTGCTGCAAACATGCTATGGCACAGCCCCCAGGAGCATCTGCCAGCTTTCTATCTGTTTTGCTGCCATGCTGCACAGGCAGTAGAGCTGCACCGATTGAAATTAATTCTGTCTCTGGTGTAAGGCTATATGTAATCGACTTAAATTCCTCCACCAGAAATTGCACACTTTCTCCAAAACCAATAAATACCCCAGACAGAGGCCAGCATTTTTGCATGTTTTTACAGCTGTTAAGTGCCATCAAGTGTATAACACAAATAAATCATACTATGCTGTTACACACTAGGGTGTGTAACAGTGCAGAGCAATTTGCTGCAGGTGAGAGATGCTCATTAAATACAATTAACAAGCACTATCTGTGTACTGAAGGGCACAGAAGCTAATTATTAGAAGACATGGTGTACAAGTAATGCTTACAGTTAAGAAACCGAGGTATTCCCACATGAAATTTCAAGGAGATGTGGGAATGACATAAATTAGGAAAACGATCCAAGCCAAGCAATAGCATTACAGACACAGTTCTCATAAAATGAATTAAGCCCTCCACTGTCGTTATGAGGACAGGAAACACCCTTCTGAGAGCTTCCAGTCTTTATGAAGCACCCTAGGACTTCATAAAGCAATTTCTTTTAAATAATAATTACCTTGGCATCACATAGGAGCCCTGTGTGCTGAAGCACACAGGTACAGGGCTTGCACCAGCGCAGTCCCCTGCTCTGCATGGGGCTGCCAGTGCAAAGCCACTGGCTGTTGAGCTCTCTGCTGCCGGGCATGTTGTAATCAGTTGTCTTTCAGTTCTCTAGCATTTTTAGAGATCAGTAAGGAAACAGTGATTTCAGGAAAAGCTCAGGCCATACCAGGCTCTGAAATCCACGTGGAGGGCGGAGAAAGGTGAAATTCTACATATAAACTCCTGTCGTCTCTTCAGCTCACTAGTGTAAATGCTAACAGAGCAAACATCATTTCTCCACATCAAGTGAAAACAGCAAAGGAAAATGCTTATTGGTCTCACATAATGACAGAGCAATGGTATTTAAAAGTATGGATTCAAGGGAAATAAACTCTCCTTGTTTATCACTAATGACTGCAATTATGTTGTCAAGTGATAGATGAGTGTTTTGATTTCCTCTTCCTGCTGTCTTTTTACCTTCAACTTATATTGTAAACTCGCCACTGTTTATTCATGTACTATTACAGAACCACTGAGAAGGGTTATTAATCAAGAGCATTTACTTTTGAAAGCAGTCACGCCATGAAGCCATGGATACAGCCAAAGCTTAACCCTACATCCTCCTCCAAAACAGCGTGTTATTGATCTTAACAACACCCCACTAGCCCCAACAAACAGAAGAACCTAAGGAGGGGGTAATGTGCTCCTGGACATGCAAACCCCAGCTCAGTGCCTTCCTTACAACCCTATATTCACAAATGCCTGCAGAAAACAGTCTAAACATGAAGTACCTGCTTGGTACCTGCATTTTGCCGCATCATTACAGGCAGCTCCAGGCACAGTAAAATTCCAGAGTGTATGGGCACCAGTGTATATTACTGTTTTGCCAGAAAATACAAGAAAAGGAGCTGGTTTCCTGCTAAGATGGTAATAAAGTAGAAGACACAGTAAACCTACTTGCACTCACGGTTTAAAAGCACTTGTGCTTTTTACTGCATCCCCTTCTAATTTTTAACTTCACAAAGCAAAACAGGGAAAAAAGGAAAAGCGCAGGCCCTTTACCAGCCCAAGGACTCAGAAGGGCTGAGGGGAGAGGGCACGGCTTTCAAGCATTACACTCCCAGAGGAGACGAAGACTTCGTTCCCCCTCTGTGCTGAAACAGCTACACAACTCATCGCAGATCCCAATTCCTTCCCAAGTTCTGGCAGCGAGAGCAGAGCTTGCCAACAATTATGTCCTCAGACAGCCAGACTGCAACACTGGGTCAGATGCTGTCCTACAGGACTCAGACTCCTGGTAACATGTTCAGCTCCTTCTTTAATAATCTGCAGGTAATATGGAATAAGAGCTTCTTTTTGTTGCCGCTGCCTGGGCATATGTTCCCTGACAGCTCTAAACTTCTAGTGCTCAGGAACAGCAACAAAACACACAGATACCTACTTGCAACAGAGCTCTTGGTTTGCCTTTTCAGAAAACTGAACACATCCTTTAGCACAAGAAACTGTTGGCCTGGGACAAGAGGACTTGATATTTGCCTAATTTTGACCACTTGTCTTAGACTCTTAAAAGCACATCTGCTCAACAAGCCACAACAACCTCCAGCCCTATTGAGGGAGTGAAGAATAAATACTCAGCTCCAGCACCTTCCATAAAAGTCTAAAAATACTTCACTAAACACCCGTAGCCTTTTCTAAGAACAAACCTGTAGGTGGGCTTAAAGCATGTGGTGCCATTACACTTCTGAACAACTTTGCTCCTCGAAATAAATTCAGCACGCCTTTCTCCTGCACAAAGTCTCTTCGTTAGTCAGAAGAGCAGAAGAGAGATGGGGAGTGCATGGAAAAATAAATACAAAACACCATAAGCCCTCCCCAACGCCTGATGGAAGAACAGGTCCAATAGGTGTTTATGTTCCAACCTAGGGTGCACTATTTTGAGCTCACATCAGTAGTACTTGCCCCATCTCACCCTACAGAAAATACTTACCTTCAGGATGTCAGTCTTGAGTTATGAAAGCTCTTGTCTTTAGTGTCCAAGCACTCTTCATAAACAAAGATGGGAAAGGTTTCACCTGCACATCTCAAGAAAAATGAGATCAACATCTACCTGAATAAGCAGCTTCTAGAAAAGTCACACAGCTCACACCCAGCATGTGTTTCAAAAGCACAGCTGCAGAGACTAATCTGATACTATATATGCTTCAACAGAAATTTTAAAGCTAGACAAATGGAAGGCAATGTTAACTACAGAATTCCCTGAAGGACTACAGTCGTTTCCTGGACAATGAAGCTAAAAAGTAACATAATCAGATCATTGGAATTTCACTATTTATGCTAAAAAGGAACTTCTCTTACCAAAGAAACAGGAATTGGAGTAGGTTGTCGATTTTCCCCTCAAGCTAAAATCTCATTTGATGCAGAGTTAATTTTAATTTACTTTTTTAAACTTTGACTCACACTGGATTCTTAGTGCTTTCCAAAGCATATACTGAAAGCAAACTCAAAATATATGAACTTACAGGGCAGGATGCTGTAATTTGAGAGTTCCACAGTCCTGGAACTTCCGGCTGAAAAACTAAGTAGGAGAAAGCATCTCTCTGTGTGGTCATCAGTCCAGGATCATTACCAATTAATTCAACAAACCTCTCCCCCCCAAAAAAAAAAGCCCAAAAAAGCTCTTCAACGAAAGCATAGTGAGAATTATCCCATAAACCAGAGCAGGACACCAGGCTACCCATTTGAACACATCCTGATTTACATGTGTTTGACAGCAAGTAAACTTGAAATGCTGTAACTTTTAAAACCTGTTTTGCCATCGGGACATTGAACACCAAACACCGCTTCAGGAAATTGCAACTATCTGGAATGGGTGAGAGACTGCAGCGGTTACTAGCATCATGGACAAAACATGACATCCCACTGGATATTTGCTATGTATTTGCATGTATGGGCTTTTTGCATCCCATCTGCTGTGATGTGATCATCTGATCTGAATCGCATTTTTAATTTGATTGAATCCAGCTACGAGAATAACCTATAATTAAGATATTAACCAATTTACATTTCCATACCAGTCTGTAATGATCTCTCCCAGTCTATTACAAGCCAGTAGCTATATACAGCCTCTTTAAGACAGCATGAGGTTTCTTCAAGCTATTACAAAAACCCTTCAAAACATCTTCAATGATTGAGAGACATCATAATGACAAGGACATCACCTTTTAAATTGCATAGTATTACCAAGGTCTTTAGAAATCTCATCTTTACTTTAGATATTTGGTACCTTGTGATGAAGCTGCGAAGATGAGTAGACAGCACTGCCACAGGATGAACAGTAGCTCAGTATATGCAAATTCTTGAATTACTGCAGGGCTTGTAAGTAAGCACTCAGATGGCACTGACAGCTATACAGGTACTTGCTTCTGTATGTGAGAGGATTTAGAGTGTTCAAAAGATCAGGCTTATAAATAGTAAATTGCATAAGATGAAAAATAAAAGGAGTGTATTGATTCCAGCTATTATTGAAAGGTGGGGTAGAAGAAAAGTAAGCATCAACATAAAGACAAATCCTTCACATTTGACCTGTTTTCTTTACAATAGTTCTCCTGTAACAGCATAGGAATGCAATACAGAGACAACTGTAGGTATGGAGATATTTCTTCAGAGAGCTTGCAAGGGATCCTCGGTGAAGTTCAGAACAAGCTGACAGCGAAGGTGACAAACAGGTGGCCACTGCAGTCTTCGTGCTGCTTTGTTACTGAACATTTCCCACCCTCACTGCCAGAGCTCTCTGAAGAGACAGACAGCGGTTGGCATCATCTTTCCTCTAGAAAATTTGCTGGTTACCATTAAACTCAAAACAACATCAAAGGAAAAGGAGAAAAAGAGCTCTGGTGAAAAGAAGGGAACAAAACCAAGTAATGCTGCTACAAAGCAATGCCTTTTCCTGTTTTATTTTGGATTACTCTTCATGAAGTTGGACTCGAATCTGATTTATCCACCCCCCCAGATGCCAAAGCAGATTTGAAAGTTTTTTTGATTATCAGAGTTGGCGAGCGTACTTTCTACAAAAGAGAAACAAAGTTTGGTAGCTTTCAAAAAATTAAATGGAACCATCTTCAAAACAACAGTTTTTCAGCAATCTGTAACTTTTCACAGCCTGTGACAGAGGACAAAAGATCTCTGTAGACAAACTGTTTGGTATCCTTTACAACATGCCCCTCAGACTCACCTGCTGCTTTAAATATAAGTTTGAAATTGACAGTGGTAAATCTTATTACATGACCAAAATGACAACATCTGAAGTGTTCAAGTCAGTTGGCCAGACTGCAATTCATAGGTTACTCTTATACAACATTGCAAAGTTCGTGAAAATAACAAAACTGTGTTTTTTCAAAGACGTGAAGAACATTATGTGTATGTGACAGATGGATCCGTGAACTGGAAAATCTCCTCATCATACAAGTCTTCTGGCAGTTTTTCATCTCCATCAGCAAAAAATGTAGGGAATGGAGGGTTTTTATTGCAGTCCTTGTATGTAGGCAATTTGCTATCTTTGACCTAAAAAGCAGGAGGGGGAAGGGTGGGGTTAATAAATTTTCCAGAAGACTTTCAGGCAGTGATTAAAGAAATCACCTTGCACACATAAGAAAAAAAATTCCAACAGCATTCACATTACATTTAAGTGAAGAATTCCATATGTAATCATCAGTTGTTTTAATATCAATCCCAGTTAATGGATTTAACACTTTGTACCTGTCATTAAGGACTTTTTTAAAACAGCAAAACAAAACAAAGAACCCAAAGAGAATTTATCTATTGCATCACACTGAATCAAAACCTACTGTCATGAATTCTTCACTCAATATTCTAAAATGTTATTAAAATAAATGTAAGCATGGTTTCTTTGAATTGTTGATATCCCCCAGTACTTTCCTACACAACATACCAAGTTACATTATGCAGTGTAATTGCCTCTTCAACAACCAAGACATGTTTTTGTATTTATGATATAAACTAATGATGGCAACTAATTTTGCAAATATATGTGCATGTGCAGTACTCAGTCCCTCCAACTACTGCAGAGCTATTTAGTGACTGTAGAGTTAAGCATCTAGAATTCTTCACCCAGAAATCAGTACCCAAGTTTGTGAACATGAGCCTTATGAGAAAGTTAATTTCCAGGAACTGTAATGCTACAGAGAAATAACTTTCCCTTACTGACCTCTCTACATGTGAAAAGATTTAAAATCTAGCCCCTGAAAATCCAATCTCTGAAGAAAATTAGGAGCTAGAATTATCAGCAAAAAGCAGTTTGTCTGCAGTAGAAGATAGAAAGCTGGTATCTCTGAAGGAAAAAAAAAAAAAAAAGAGCTACAAATTCTCAAGCAATGAAGTTCTATTTAAAACAAAATTCTCCATTTCTATATTGCTACATATGATCCTCCTCCTGAACTGTAACAACCCCTTTCAGCTGCTATACCCAAGTGGAGTAAAAAAAAAAAAGTACAAATAGATTAAACAAAATTTTAGCATAGAGAGGATAAGCTCTTCCTCTCTTTTTTTTTTTGGTGGGCTTTTAAAGAACAGGAAGCTTGATTTATACCAGAAATTAAGTAAAACAAATTTATGTCCACTGACAGTTCTGTTCTGACAGCACTATATTTACCAGATTCATATTTGCTATTACTTGAGCCTTTCCTGAAGTCCATGAGGATTCCTACAGATGAAGCGCACAATAAGTTTGACATAAACTTCACCTTCTGAAAAACTAGTTATTCGGTTGTTGGGTTTCTTTTCTCCCTGAGGAAGTTCCAAGGGTTTTCTAACTGCAGGCTTGACAATGAGGGGTGAAAGGCTCGACAAGTTGTACTGGCTAGCATGGCTACTTAGCTTTTCAGTAGATCTTTCCCCTTCTGCCAGACACCTCCCTATCAGAAGTGTTCTCTATTCACTTGTAAACTGCCATGCATAAATACTGAAGCAGTTTGGGCAGAGAGCAATTTTCATTACATATCTACATAGAATAAACCAGGCTGTGGTTCAAGCCCAAAGACTTTTGTAGCAACAGTTCCAGCAGCAGTGAGTTCAGAGGAAACGCAGTCAAATAGCTTCAACAGTGCTGCCTGAACTGCTGAGGCTGAGAAGTCATCCTTCCCTTTCAATACGGTGCTGTTGTTTCTTTTTTTGTATGAAAACAAGTCTCAGTAACTTCCCCAGCTCCCTATTATTTCCTTGCCCCTTTCTCTGTTATTCCCTAATCCTATTACACACGATAAACCGCCTTTGTTAACAGCAAAAACCCCCATGGTCTCTGCATGAATTACAATAGTATTAGGAAGATGAGAATAAGAATAAATGATTTTATTTCTGATAACTTACTTATTTCATATGTATCCTATTAAAATGTTTTTCATGTCTACTTTTTAAGTTATTTTGGATTATTATTATGATGAAGTAACGTGCTCTCGCATACAGACTGTGTCATTACAGGCAGTTTTGGGCACCTGGAAAGTGAAAGGAATTTAAATTTTTTTCCTTTTCTTAGAACCACTTCTTATCATAGGACTTAGGAGTAAGACATCTGCTTTTAACTGAAGGCAAACCCAAGAGTCTAATCTTTATCCGGTATTAGTTTATCTAAATAAATGTAAGATTTCTGTTCAGCCTTAACATTGCATTTTACATATTAATGTCAAGTGACATTTTGCAGATAGTGCCTTTTGTGCGATAAGGAGAATTCTTAAAGTAGATTCTTATGAAACATTTTCCACAGACCATTGCTGCTTTCAGAGTACAATAATATTTCATTTTGCCCCTTCCAAACTCCTCTGAAGCTTGACAGATCCCACAAGCACAAGCGACATCTGATGTTAAAATTATTTTCTTTTGATACGCTCTTTCTTTTGATTGGTATAATCGACACAGTATTTCTTTTGACTGGTGAAAACTACTGCTCTCTTTCCATCCTTTTCTACATTCACTGCTTTCAAATGCAATTTAAGTTCTACTTCTGGAGCACCATCTTAGAGCACCACTACCAAACTGAATAAACATGCCTCTTTCTCACTTCTAATTTTCTAAAGTTGTTAAACAGATATTATTATTGCTATCTAAAGGAAGAACTCAATTTTATTTTACATCTGTAAGTACATATTAACAAGTTAAACCATGGAACAACTGTCCTGGTTTCAGCTGGGATAGAGGTAATTTTATTTCTAGTGATTGCTGTGTTTCAGATTTGGTATGAAAGTAATGTCAATAATGCACATTGGTTTAATTGTTGCTAGACGATGTTTATACCATTCAAGGACTGTTTTGCAGCTTCTCATAGAAGCTGAGAAGGAGCACAGACAGAACACTGGAATGGCCAGTGAAATGTTCTGTACCATAGACGTCATGCTCAGTATATAAATGGGGATTGGCCGAGGGACAGGACTCTGCAATCACTGCTCAGGTCGAGCTGGGCAACCAATTCATCAGGCAGTGAGCGTGACTTGTGCCTTGTGTATTCTTTCATCATTATTATTGTTATTTGCCTCTTCCATTACTGTTCTATTAAACTCTCTTTATCTTAACCCACAAGTACATAGACGTCATGCTCAGTATATAAATGGGGATTGGCCGAGGGACAGGACTCTGCAATCACTGCTCAGGTCGAGCTGGGCAACCAATTCATCAGGCAGTGAGCGTGACTTGTGCCTTGTGTATTCTTTCATCATTATTATTGTTATTTGCCTCTTCCATTACTGTTCTATTAAACTCTCTTTATCTTAACCCACAAGTATTTTTCCCCTTTCCCCTCCTTTTCTCCCTACCCTACGGCTCCAAAACTTGATACTTATGGGTGCCTTCCAACTTGAGATATTCTATGATTATATGAAAACAATGACTCACAGCAAAAAACACAAAACCGTGTCAAATAACATTTCATTTTCTTCCTTCCCAGTTATTTGAAGCTCATAAGATATTTTTTACATTCCATGCTGAAATTGCATTATAAGCAATTGATTTGGTAACCTTTTACAGTAAGGCTGTACAAACAATCAACACACAAACTTCCCTCATAACTGCTTTTAGGCCCTAAGAAAAAAAATAATGTCTACAACCTACAGTCTTGGACATGACATCACTGAACTGTAAACATGTCTTTTTTCTGCAGGTTTCCTACTAATATAAATCCAATGTGATCACAATGGACAGCACTGATCCCATTCAACATATGACTTTAAAAAAAAAGAAGAAAAAAAAAAAAGAAAAAAAAAAAAAGAGGAACGCCATGACATCAGTATGAGTTTTAATGCTATGTGTTACTAAAATCCTACAAATTTAGCTCTCACTTACAGATGGAATCAGGCTGAAAGCCCAACTCGTTATTACAATTCATAAAAGCATTCACTGTATAACTCAATGTAACATAAAAACATTACTTGTTTAGCTACTCTGTTAGTACTGCTATACATTATAGTACACTATACTGTAGATGGTGTATATAGTAGTGTATATATACTACAGTATATTCTCTGTGAAGTTCTGTATTGGGAAAACTACTAGACAAAGCTGAAATTGGAGCTGATTGGGCTTTTGTCACTAAATCTTTAAAACAGACATATAGGATTTTGCAGACAATGAACTCCATGTATGCGTGTCCCATACACTGACAGCATAACAGGTAGTATAAACAAATACAAATTGAGAAACCTATCAACGTGAAATACTTAATACGGTCTTAAATGAGCATCAAAACTTGATGCTCAAGTCACAACTCACATTTGCAGTTTAACAGGGCTTCAGGCTGTGTTAGCAACCACAGCAAAGAATGCAAGTTGTTGAAAATGTGTTTAAATATACAGAATGTTAGAAATTATCTCCTTGGGAAATATACATTACCTAGTTCAGCTTCCATGCTATTTCTGAAGCTAGTCAGAAAACTGAATTCAAGAACAATTTTTGACCAGCCTTATTTTGTCTTGAAAAAAACCAAAGAAACCCTAAACAAGCCACCTCCACACAACTCTATCGTGGTGCCCAAGGCACTGGACAGGGAACAGGAAGAAGTCAAAGCCTGACACTACTCTGGCATATCCCTAATTTGAGCTCAGAGCACCCAAACTCTGACATCAGCAGTTGGAAACACAGACAGTAATGTTGGCAAGTGTCATACAAAATAAGTAGGATGCAAACTACTACAGACTTCTCTATGGGTTACACAGACTTGCCAGAATTTCTGGTTTCACTACAAGTGATATATCCAAAATGATCAATATTGAACGTCCTAAGAAAAATCAGGTGCCTTAAAATTGAGAGGTACAAAACATTATAATACAGGATGTTTAAAGGTTATGTTTGATAATATACCATGTTACAATATGCTCTCCATTACAAAAAGCATTTCTTTAAAAAAGGAATTAGTCTTGTGCATCTCTCATGAATGACAGAAGAGATAACTTTGCTTGGGAGAGCAATTAAGAGTCATAAGATTCCAAAAGAAAAAAATACTAACTTTTTTTCTAAATGATCAATACAACAGATGGTAACTCTAGGCCTTGTAATCTAAGAGAAACAGGTATTACCTGAGGTGGACTATCTCGATAGGCCCAACACAGTAATTTACAGATGCTTACTCTGCAATGTTGTTCTTGTTATAGAAAAATTCCACACGTTCTAGCATAGTGCTAAAGTTTCTTAATTTTATTAGACCTTGTCACTGAGAAAGATATCTATGCTAAAGTAAGCTTTTTTGATTAGTTTTCCAGTTGACTAGAAACATTACTTATGTCAGTTATTTACCTGCTTGCTTCAGTGTGCAGTATCAAACGAAAACTGATTTCTGATTAAACCAGGAATCCATCAATCATACTACTGTGCAATTTTTCTGCTGAAAATGAAACTTGAAAAATTTAAGTACTTCATCTCCGTCTGGATACAGTGCTGATGCACTAAGTTTCCAAAAATACATAACATACAAAATAAATAAATGCTTCAAGGTGCACTGTGGTTTAAATGGTTACCAAGCAACAACGAGTGGGCACTGAACACCAGTGTATCTCTTGGAGATACACACGAAAGAAAAGTATTATGTGATATTCCACTTTTTGAGCTCAAAGACAGACAGATCCACACCCCCTAGACATTATTCCTACCTAATTATAGGCAGGTATTTAGTGGAATGAAGAGTAATTCTGAATGCTAATATCCCAGAATTTCTCTCCCCAACTGCAGATCCAAACAAATATGCAACAAGGTATAGGATGTCAAAATCATCTTGCAAACAAGAAAAGCCCTGGAAGAAAGGCATAAGACAGAAGCTAAAAACACTACAGGTGAGTGCAAGGACATTAAATGGAGAAAAAAAACTTCAGAAATTAGAGAACACATACTGAATAGTATTGCTTTGCACGCATTTTTAATTAAAGCTTTCTCTGCTCCTCAGAGATACACTTGAAAATAAGGGAAGCTTTTTTTACTTAATACATGTAATTCCTATGGCTTATGGAAGAAAAAAAACCCAGAATGGATTCACTAGTTTGAAGAACTGAAATGAACTGTTGCTGATTACATACTCCCTCCAAACACCATATATGTGAGTGGAAACAAAAAAAAAAAAAAAAAAAAAAATTGTGTACATAGTAGATAAATATAATATTGGTTTCCTCACATAGTATGTCCAACAACCACTGCTCGTTATCTGAACAGGCAAAACACAGGCAAAACATCCCAGCATATGAAACTGTTAAATTGTAGAGTATTCCCTTAGCCCTGATGTTGCGTATTTACTCTGCAGCATCCTCCTGTCACTCTAAAACTCAGCTTCTGCTGAGACACTGTAGGACAGAAAGAAAGGAAGTTGAGCTTTCTGAAGGAAATACTAAGTTTCTGTTCAATGGTATTTCAGCAAAAATGGTCCTCAGCTTCTAATTTTGTACACCCCCCCAAACACCAAAAATGGGGAGGGAAAAAAAAAAAAAAAAAAAAAAAAGAAAAATCTATCTCCTAATAGTAATAATACCTACTACTGTACCTTCATCTCAAACCAGGATCATTTACTACTAAAAACCAGGAAAGCTTGAGTGTGAAGCACTTTGATCAAGACCTTTCGAATATCATATTATGTTAATCGAAGAGCTCTAAGGGATTAAATCCCTCATTCTTCCCGTGGATCCTCAACACTCATTTCTAATAAAGGAATTAGCTGCAATTCTGAAATGTGTATGCCAAAATGCATACTTGAAGATACCCGGACTTCTAAATTGCAGACAACTACGACTTGAAACATTTTCATAGATAGGTAAATTGCAAATACAACTAATAGAGATTCTACATCTTGTATAAGACTTAGTAAAGCGGTCCATAAAGTGCCTTCTGCCACTTAGTTAATAATGACAGATTAAGTTTACTTGAAAAAAACCCCAAAAACATAATGGAGCCTTTTTAACTTTTGGTCTTAGGATAAAGCTCCAATCATCATCCATGGTAAGTGAACTGAACAGAAATCACTGCTGGACATGGCAAGCCCTTAAAGGGTATGTAACAGACTGCCATGGCAATTAAAGTCCATTACCCTCATCACAACACAGATGTCAACATGGTTGTTTGCATAAGCTCAGATGGCTTGGCCCAGCAGTCTCCTGTTAACAAGGTTGTTGACTATGGCAGTACTGCTGCCTCAAGGATCTTTTTAAGCTAACAGCAGGTCTGCTTTCAGAACAAAACCAGTAAATCCCAGGTCGTAAGGGGGATGCTTTCCAGCCTAAGCAAAAGTAATGTCTGAGTAAAGAAAAAGAGCAGATGAAAGAAAAACGTGGAAGTGACCAAATCATGAGAGAATGTACATAACACTTCCAGTAGATTCTTCTTCAAGTGGAAGTGTCTGATTAGCAAGGGGACATTCATTTGTTTAAATGAAAGCTTCACAGTATACATAAGAATGTGTATTAACACATATAGCTTTGGCTTTAAAAACAGTTTATATTACAGTTGTTTAATAACTGTTTATTTCCTTAGCTCACTTAAAAACAGAAATAAAAAAATAATTTAGTAAGTCTAGTTAGAATAAAAGTTATGAGCTGGTAGAAATAAGTACTGTATTCAGAGTCTCAGTGGCTTCATAAATTGTTGTATCCTGGCAGATAAGACATCTGAGAGGTGTACATGCAGCTGCTACTGAACCATGTAAGTGTGGATTTTAACAGCATGACTAGGAGAACAAGATGCAACCTTTTGCAACAATTAGCTCTTGCTTAAGAGTACTATTAAGATCAAAGAATAAAGTCTGGGCCTCAAACATTGCTCATTTTTTCAGCTAAATTATGATGCTTGTATACATATGCTATAATTTAAAAATATCATTCTGCAACAATTTCACACTTAATTAAACCTAAGACTGACAGATAGCAATCAGGTTAATGGCTCAGGATTAGAAAAAATACTTAGAACACAGTTGAAGAAAAGATCATTCAGTCCCATTTACAGGTAAAAAGCCAGTCAAACTAAAGTCTTAATTCTATGTCTAGTGGGGTTGCCCTTATGTCAGGTCTAACTAGATGGTCTTTAAGGTCCCTTCCAACCCAAACTACTCTATGATTCTATGTCACTGATGTCACGCCCAGTAATTTTGCAGAAGTTATCCTGAAAACTACTTCTCCTGGACACCTGTTAACTTATCTTTTTCCTGGATGTCATCTCTAAGCATATAGAAGGGAAAAAAAAAAGGTCGCTTCCAACCCAAACTACTCTATGATTCTATGTCACTGATGTCACGCCCAGTAATTTTGCAGAAGTTATCCTGAAAACTACTTCTCCTGGACACCTGTTAACTTATCTTTTTCCTGGATGTCATCTCTAAGCATATAGAAGGGAAAAAAAAAAGGTCGTCAGGAGTGGTCAGCATGGATTCACCAAGGGGAAATCATGCTTGACCAATCTGATAGCCTTCTATGATGACTGGCTGGGTGAATGAGGGGAGAGCAGTGGATGTTGACTTCAGAAGTCTTTTGACACTGTCTCCCATAACATCCTCACAGGTAAGCTTAGGAAGTGTGGGTTAGATGAGTGGACAGTGAGGTGGGGTGAGAACTGGCAGAATGGCAGAGCTCAGAGGGTTGTGATCAGCCGTCCAGAATACAGCTGGAGGCCTGCATCTAGCAGTGTTCCCCAGGGGTGAATACTGGGTCCAATCTTGTTGAATATATTCATCAACAACCTGGATGAGGGGACAGAGTGTACCCTCAGCAAGTCTGATGACGATACAAAACTGGGAGGAGTGGCTGACACACCAAAAACCTCATAATCACTCATAAGAAAGATGCTTGATAATGTGTAATCTATTAAGTCAGAAAGTAATCAACATCCTCCAAGTAATTAGTGCTTGCAGATATGTAGCATATACCTAAATAGGAAGAAAAGGCTATTTTGAAAATAATCCTTAAAAGCACTTTTTTTGCTTTTATGTGGATTATTTACATTGTTAGAACACATATTAGACTCTTCACTGCTTCATGATTGTCTATGAAAAATGGAAAAAATTTCCATAAAATTAGAAATTAATTCTGTAGAATGCCACAGAAAATAACACTGACACATTGCTACTGATTGCAAAGGGAACTCGTATCATTATTGCAAACTCCAGCTGCCTCCTTCTGTACCTCAAATGCACCTTGGAAAGGTAACTGCTACCGTCTATGAGAATGCTTTGAATAACCTAAATTTAAAGCAGTACTTCCCTTAAATACCATTTTGGAAATCTCACCGCCATGCTAGTGACACAGGTTGGTGTTAGAGGAGATGGACCTAGCCCTGAAACACTTACCACGAGGTTACAGCAGCCGTGCTGGTTTATCATATGCTACATGGGTGCACAACCCCAGCGCGAAGCTAAGAATGAGCTGTTTGGAGCCAGCGGTGGCCCACTGCCCCTGTTCATCACTCTCCTCTATGGAACTGACCCTGCTGTCCTTTAATTATTCAATAGTACAAGATGGGCCTCTGAAGAAATGAAGATTGCATTCAACCAACGTTTTTCCATTTGTAAGAAGAGAGGTTGAGAGAGGAGTCACTAATACCAGAAAATTGAAACTAGCAAACATACCTTCACCAGACAATTTGTGTGACCTGGAACAGACCCATTTACATAAATAATGTTATGTTTTGTGTTGATCCTCCACACCTAGGAGACAGAAAAAAAAAACCCAGACAGTGAGCTCATTTTAGAGACAATTCCCAGTTTTACAAACAGTAGTCCAGCAACCTGGAGGTGATACTCTGAGAAAGGAGAATGTTCTGCACAGGCCTAAACTTGCCACAAAATTCAGTCACACACTACTCTGCACAGCTGTCTAACACAGGAGTCTATTTAACAGATTTAAAGGGCTTGTGACCAGGCTGTATTTGGTAAGGGAGCTCTTTGTTCAGCATCACACCAACCCAAGCTCCCAAGTCTCTTTTCCCTCTCAACAGCAATAGCTGTTGAAAAACATCACACCTGACAAATTAAAACAAATATGCTCATGGAAATCTTACTGTGATCATTTGTTAATTTCTTAATTCTATGAGATGCTCAACTGAACGTGCGAATTTTCTGTTACAAAACATTAATTTTAGTTAGCAGAGAGAAGCAGAACACTTTTTCTGCCAAATAGAGGCTAATATGCTTTTTGTGCAAACTGCAGAGGTTGCCTTCAGAAATGGAGAATGGTCACTGTAATAGACCAGGAACTGCTGCAGCTATATACACACCATGATCTAGACAAACTATAATCCCCTTTTTGCACATGAAAATGAAGGACCATGATAAAGTTAGGACTTCAGATTGCTCAAGTTGGGTTTGAACAAGTGGAAGGCCCGATTGTTTTCCCTTTTCAAAGGCAGAAGTCAAAGAACAGTGAACACAGTGAAAAACACATCAGCTGTGGAAGTATCACCTGAAACCCCAATTCCCAAGGTATAAACAAAGAGAGTTCAGGTAACTTATAATTTATTTGTAACCCACAAGAAGACAGGAGCATGCATTTGCTGCTCTTGTCTTTCCAGCTTGCTTACTTCAAGATGCTCCTATCTTGATTCTGTCAGAAATGACAGAGAGTACACCAATGCAAGGCTACATGACCAAGTCCATTGCTTGGCAACGCAACGGCCTTACACACATTCTAGTATACTCAGAACTCACCTTTAATCCAAAAGATGTCCTATAGATGTTACCCATTTTACCAGGCATTTTCTTTCCCCGATAAACTTTGGCAGCTTTCTAGATAAAAAAAAGCCAAAAAAATATCACGTAACTGCAAGAGGTACACTTACAAACTCAAGAAGAGCACTAAAGAAAATATGCTGGTATTTCCAATGTTGAAAATATCTAATAATGAAAATATTTAATACTGACTAGCATTTAAAATACCTCCAGCTGGAGGTTAAGTGTAACTCTCAATCATAGAATTGTTATAAATACCGTTATATCAACAAAGGGATTCCAAATCTGCTTAATACTTAATGTCTATAGATTCAGAGTAAAATCTGCACTCATTCCATGCTTTCACTTTGTGAAAATCAAGAAAAGGTTGTTTTCCTAAAACCCCTGTCAACACAAGACTCTCACCTATGTTATAGACCATAGCAACAGGAAACTCACCTAAACCACTTGTAGATGCTACCACAGAGGTCCAGAGCAGCCCTGCTCTGGAAGGCTGCCAAAATGAAGATACACTGTGGCTCATCCCCTCTCCCTAATCCATGAATTTTATACTGATGTAAAACAAATTTTTTAAAGCATGCATTTTTAAGAACAGAATTTTTAATTGCCTTCCTTGCTATTGCTTAGTTTCTGTATTCCATTTTGGTTTGGCTGGTTATAGCCTAGAGAACAACAGTGGAAAAGAAAAGGAAGGAATAAGTGCAATATTTTTTCTACATTATTATCAAGGGACTTGTCTGTTTCCTGCACCACACTATTATTCATTAATAATGTTGTGGGTTTTTTTTTAAAAAAAAACAACGAATGTGCAAATCACAATTTCACGAAATCAGCTGCAATGAAGTTCAAGGTACAGGACATTCTGTAGTGAACAATGCAGGATTACAAAAATATCTGAGGCGGTCAACACTAGACTGAAAAATAAAAATCAAGGCATTGTTTTTCCCCTATTGTGTCCTTTCACCTTGTTTCCTTATCATCATACCTATTTCCAGTACTATTTCCCATCCTATATACTTCGTAAAATTACAGCCAGCATTACTGCTTAGGAAATTCTAATTTAAAGAAAAGTAAAGAGGGGTTATTTTGTAATGACGAATACCATCTGGTGAAACAAAGTGTTGTATGTTCAAATATTTACAATCTTCAGTCTTCAGAGAAAACAGTGCCAGGTTTAGAATTCATTTTCCAGCTGAAATGAAGGACTATAAACCAGTACTGTATGATTTTACAGACTCAATTACTCCAGCTTCATTGCCTGGTGCCTTTTTGCTTTTATTATTCTCTTGAGTGTTATTAATATTTTTTTAATTTTTACTTTAATTTCACAAAGAAAATTACAGACAACTCAGGCTCAGTAGGTCTTAATTCTGTATAGTGGAGCTAGTTTGCAAAAAGCCCTCTTAGTTCAGCCTAAATATTGTGCAACCTTTGTAGGGACAAAGTTTTAAATGAATCTGTTCCAAAGAGCCTTTAAACTAATATTATTTGTAGTTTGAAACTTAATAATATTACTGTGTACTCTGCTTAGAAATGCTTAGAAGCCAACCAACTATTTTGGGAATCAAAGAATTCATTAACCAGCTACAAAAGCCAGGCAAGGTGGTAAAAGCAACTAAGGTTCCAAAGAATAGTGCAGTATCTGCAGTATAAAATAATGGGTAGATTCTTTCCAATCTACCTATAAATGCTGCGGTAAATGATTCTTAGAACTCTCTTTGAAGCATTAAGATTATTTCTCTCAGCTATTCTACAAAATACCACAATTTGCTCAGTTAAAATATGTTTGCTCACTTACCAGCAATATAGAATATTCGTAAATTGAGCTATAAGAGAAGAGCTATCTGCATTGCCCATTATACAGGTTTTTGAACTTCTTTCAAAACAGCTGGGTTTCTCTGCTACTACAGAGTAGATGGTAACAGCTAGCTATTGTGAAATTGTTCATTTTTAGTAAGCAGTTCTAAATATACTGAAGAATGTTTAAACAGGAAGTAAGAATCCTCACATTGGTAGAAATTGCTCCAGGACGTCTGTGAGTTTTCGTCTGGCCATGGCTTGCAGGCTGACCTTTAAATCCCCACCTTTTCATGACACCTTGAAATCCTTTACCAATTCTGAAAAGAAAAATAATTAAGAAACAAACCTGGGTTAGTCATACTTAAGGTTTCTAGCAATAACCAATAATTTCAGTCAGGCTCATCATCTTTTTACCTTTAGCAAAGCTGAGCAAACAGAACATATTTAAAAAAACCACCCAAAACCCGTATTTTATACCACAAATACATTCTAGTGCAATACTTAAAGGTTGCTTTACAGAATGAGAAGCACTAGAAGAGAATCAAGTAGGCAAAAAGACTAACAAGAAACGTTCCTTGCTGTGATGGTCCTCAACACACGGTACCATAATGAAGCTTTCACCAACTGTACACCAGAACAAACAAACAAAACAACCAAAAAAACCTGAATAAAAAGTAACTGTGTAATAACACTTGCCAAAACTTAACGACCAGCCATAAGCATCAAGAGAGGAAAGAGATGACTGCTTAGACTAGCATAAAAATAAACCAAGGAACATTTATTTTCAAAACTACAGTAGACTCATCTCCTGAAAACAGTTTTATGTGTAGTTAAAACACTGAACTCATCTGACAAATAAGGTCTAAACCACAATAACAAATAAAACATATTTTCAGAGCCTATGCCTTAGTCCTGGAGGCATATCATAGCGTTACTGGTTTTGGAGTTCTCCGTTTACTGCAGGGACACACTCAATGGGAAAAAATGCCTCACCCCAGCACAAAAGAAAAGCCGATTAAAGTGTGTGTTTCAACCGGCATTGTCTGCTTCCAAAAGGAAAAGTCTGACCACAGGGTTTATGGCTGCACTGATTATTTAATATATTTAACAAGATTATTCTTTTCCTCCAATTTACAGAAATCCTTTCTCTCCTAATGCACTTTGCAATGTCACAGTCCTATTAGTTCAAGCATTGGAACCTTCCGGCCAAACACAGGAAAATAAAACCGAGTATGAGCATGCGTACAGCTCACTGTACATATGGAGCATGTTTTCTGACTCTTCTGATCAGAAAAGAACTGCCATTAAAACTAGAGAAAACATACAAATGCGGAAAACACCAAACATTCACAAAAACTGGACTCTTTCCTCTTCCACTTGAATAATTATCCTCTGATTGCTGGCCTAGCTGACTAAAGCCAAGTCAAACTACAGTCACAACCAAACACAAATAGAAAGACGCTAATGGCTCAGAATCATAAGGAAACAAGACTTGTCCAACCATGGTGTCTGTCTCTTGGTTTTCCCCTTCTCTGCTCAGAATCTAGTAGTCAGTAGTCACTAAGACACAGAAATGTTAAATGAAAGGAAAATAATCTTTCTGTAAAATTAAAAATAGAGTTTAATTACACACAGTTCTAGTTTCACCTGCAGGAAAGCAGCTGTTCAGGTCAAGCACCTAATTTTGTACAAAACCTCATTTGCCACGTTTTAAACTAGTAAAATGCCAGTACCTAATGAGCCAACTTTCATTTAAAAAGCTACTGCAACGAAGCATTCTAATTAAGCAACAATTTAGTTTGCTGCTAATTCTTCAAACTTAGCTAATTTAAAAGACAATTATTTAGATGCTGTAAAGCAAGAGGATTCCAACTACTTAGTCAAATAATTCCAGGCAACTGTAGAGCATACTTTCAGGCTCAGGTTACACTGTTAACCTAGTAAAGCTTGAATAAACCACTGAATGCTCCAGAATTATCTGGAGGAATTAATTCTGAGACATTTGAAATAAAACTATTGTCGGCTTTTTCTTTAGAGTGGTAAAATTTCTCATGTTTCATGAAATAGATCGTGAAGTGGCAGCAAAAGGAGGAATAATGCAACTCCACCTCCATACAGTGTTGGAATACCACTGTAATGCCTGGTCCCACCCCTCCCCATCCCCGTGTTTTGGTCTGGTACTAGTGCAGAGGCTCACCAGCTGATCACCAAGCTGGGACATGCAACTGATCCAGCTGAAAAATAACGCAGTGAAAAATACCCATCTCTCACACCAATCTTTTCCTTCATACAACTCGAGACACCAGCACCAGCAACAGGAGGTCTATGGGAACTCTGTGGGAGCAACCACCACCTCCCCTTGGGGCAGCAGCCTCCACTACACCAGCTTAAAGAAGTCACAGAAATGCAGTCTGTTAGAGAAGCATTTCTGGATGGTACTGTGTATTTTAGCCTGAAGAACAGTTGGGCTAAACCAGACCATCAGGCCCAAGGATTTCTGAAGTTTACTGCTGTCCCAAAAAGGGCACTAAGCCTTTTGGGGCCAGGCTCCTTTCAGTGGTGCCCAGTGACAGGTCAATTGGTAACAGGCACAAACTGGAACGCAGGAAATTCTATCTTAACATGAGGAAAAACTTCCTTACTTTGAGGGTAGCAGAGCACTGGAACAGGCTGCCCAGAGACTCTGTGGAGTCCCCTTCTCTGGAGATATTCAAAACCCGGCTGGATGCACTCCTGTCCAGCCTGCTGTGGGTGAACCTGCTTTGGCAGGGGGGTTGAAAGATCTCCATCTCTCTTTGGATAATCTCAATCTCAAAAGGTCCCTTCAAGCCCCTACCATTTGTGATTTACACATTCTCGAAACATACTTCTGAAACACCAAGGGAAAGTCTTGTCATTAAAGACAGGTAAGACTCGAGGACTGAGCTTATAAAATGCTGAAAATAAGTACTAAGGAAAAAATTCAGCACTAAGGAAGATTGGCAGGATGCAGACGCGCTGCCTACTGTCTGCGCTAAAAGCTACTCACACTGTGCTGAACAAATTACGAGACTTCAAATAAAAACAAACTGCATACATCTTTAACTGAACCTTCTCATTTCTGTGAAAGCGTTTTTCTTCAGAGGTATAAATGAATCAAAACATTTCAAAAGACTTCAACAAAAGCATTTGCAAAACGCCCCACATTTTGGTACCCAAATCAAGATACCAGGCAAGCCTTTTCTGAACCATAGTGCAAATAGCTTGTTCAACCTACAATAACTAAGAAAAGCTTGCTCATTTTTAAGGGGCATACTTCTGATTTTGGTCTTGGTAAAAGGAAGCATACAAAAGGATATCTTGCTCATCTTGATCAATAAGAGTTGGTAAAAATCTAAAACATCCTTTATATTCCACTGTCTCCTCATTGAGGTGACATTAGTTTTCTTTTTTTTTTTAAAAAGGAATAATTACAATTAATCATGTCATTAAGAACAGCACTGCTATGATCATCTATATGATTTCAAACACTGCACACTTCAGTGTGATGTTTATTTCATTAAATAAAATTACTGACAATCTTAAAAATGTAAAGTACACATTCAGGTAAAAATATTTCTAAAATTTTACTAGCTGTGATAGCAAGTTTTTAGGAATTACTGGCTTCTAAGTCCACAATGGATTGAATGTGGGAGGAAGGAGAAGTCAAACTGTGCTCTGTACTGTAACCCAGCATTATATTCTTAAGTACCTTTTGAAAACACCCCTATAGGTTCGGATCTTCCCAGTGCCTACATCACTTCTGAAAATGAGCCCAAGGACCAGCCTTCCCCAGGTTCCCTGTTTGTTCAGCAGGGAGAAGCTGGCTCTTCTTGAGGTGGTTTCAGGGCACAAATACAACATGAAGTACATTCTCATTTTTCCCCCCCAGCACAGTCCAAATGCTATAGCTCAATCCTGTAATCATCCCCAAGATAACTTTTTTTGCCCTTCACTGAAGCATTTCTTGGATATTTTTGTGACATTGTGAAATCTGTTCTTACAGGTACAGTAACTAAGAATGATGGACACAGCACTCTGAAAAATAATGAAAAATAAACCCCATCCAAGTATGAGACTAAGCAACACTGGATGAAATTGCATGGAAAAAAAGTAAAAGACCCAAAGAAAAACTGAAATGTAGTCAAATAATTTAATCCTTGCCCAAGAGTTAATGTAATATGATAAATGCAGCATTCCAGAAGTAGAAATTAAGAAGAAAGCAATATTAAAAGTAGAAATCATAAAGTGAGCAAGTCACAGAAAAAGGTTAAAAAACACAGCTATAGAAAGAATGGAATTATTAGATAATCATACTGGCAGAAATAACATGATTAAAAAAAATTATGATCTTTTTCTTTTGCTTAAGAATTCTTCTCCTTTTATACACCTGTACAGTAGGATTACACACACTATGCTACCAAAGTAAGCAGTACAAACAAAAACCTAGTTTGTGAAACGGGATCATACAAATATCTGGAGAAAATAGATCAGAAATATTGAATTAAAAGACAGGAAGGATTCACTGAACATGGCCAGGAACCTAGTCTATTTTTAGCTTGCTAGTATTTTCAAATACTTATGACAAGATACAAATCAACACTCTGTGGCTCTTATCGGTACCTCTTACACTGACCAAAAACTTTCATACTTCTTGAAATACTTCTAGAAAAACAAAGCTTTTCTGCACTAAAAAAGCGTGACACTTAATCTACATGGAATGGCTGCATTCCTAATGACACTGTGCTTTGCTTCGTAAACAAATTATTGTCTCTTATAGGCTGTCCACTGCATGCAATTTAGAAGCAGAATAAACAATACACCAGATCTAAGTATTACATATAGAAGTCTGACATAGAAAAATACTAATACCAGTCAATTTTTTAACCTCTGGGTCTGAATAGGGTGCCCCCATAGGTGTAGTCAGCTGTGGCTATAATAGAACCAACTACTCAGCTGTACTAATATGGCCAGGTTCCCTATATATACAATGCTCCGTGAATAACATTAGACATTTATAAGCATTACACATATGTGAAACAATTACAACGGATGGTATTTCAACAAGGCCAGTTGGGTATAATCTCCATCACACACACACACACCCCTGCCACAAAATAGAGAACATCATCATTGTATCGTAACACAACAAAAATACACTTCTGTGAAACAGGGAGACAGGAGTTCTCGGTTCTCTTGGGCAGTGGAAATCATGGATGTAATAGAGGTATGATTAGTCTTTGCCACAAGATGCCAGTTTTTCTTTTGACACCCTCTATTACTTGAGCTCTAATTTGGCATTTGCAGCGGTCTGAGAGGAAATCATTCCTCCCACGTTGAAGTAAAAGATCATGAGCCATTGCTGGCAAGGAGAGGAGCTGAAATATGAGAGAAAACAAAACCCAGAATTTTACATTTAGCAGGACAACAGCTCTGTTGTCCTGCTAAATGTATTCACTATTTTTTTGCTTTCCTTTCAGTCCACATGACACATCTCCCTGCGCATCTCTTACGTAATCAAAATTAAGCAGTCTTTCTGGGAACTGATGCCTTTCAACATTTATTCTCTACTTCTGCACGCCACAGGCACTGCATTATAGACCTCAGCACCTCTTTTTCAAGCTGTTTGTCCAGCCCTTTCACGCTAATCATTTACGTGTGACAGACAACACAGGCAGAACCACAGCCCTAAATAGTATTACTTGTTTACCTACTGTGTTCAAAATCAAAAGTAAGACTCAGCAAAGAAAGATATTTTTGACCCAATGGCTGAATGGACTTCTATTTCTCACTACTACCCTTGCAATTGTATTTCAGCTTTTGTGAGCCACGAGTTCAAGCCAAAGTAGAGAGAGAAAAAAATTCAACCAGTCTATTTGAAAGATGAACTGTACACATTAGATACCTACGTTTTTGCAGTAACATCCACAAACTGTCCTGGGCGGAAGTGCGCAGCATACAAAGGGGTACCTTCAAAAGGAGAAGGGAGATGATGTTCAACAGAGTGGTGAAATCCTCAAACCACTCTCCAGTCATTACCATCCCGCATAGATTACAGTCACAGGAAAGGAAACAAAACTTCATTTTTATTCACATATTACTTGCTCTTGTTTATAAACCTCACTAACTAAAATAGATGCTTTGTAGCATCTCAGTTCCTAGCCGAATTTCAGAGGAGTATGAAGGGAGGGCTGGGACTTTACTCAGATATGTTGCACTTGAAAGAGACAAAGCTCAAAATGTTTCATTAGTTACGACTCACAATAAACAAACTTGGCAAGAAAACAGAACATACCTCACTTATAGTACTAGCACTTCAAAAGATGAAGGGTTTCTAAAAAAAACACCCGAACAGAATAATCCCCCAAACACTTCCTTTAAAAAATGGGGTTAAGAATACAAAAATGCTTTTCAACGCTTCCTCTTTATTAAAAGGCAGTATTTCCAAACTGAAGTGCAGCTTCACCCCCTGGGGAATCACCTATACACTAGCCTTTAGCCAAAGCAGTGCTACTGTCAGTCAGTGACATCACTTACCTGACTGCAATTACTCAGTGCTTGTACTATCAGTTTAAATTTTAATTAAAGATTTATTTTGTCTTCAACAATTTTTTTCATTGAAGTGCAATATTGTTTTATTAGCAGCTTTTAAAAGAAAAACAGAATTGATAATGTAGTTCATTATAAATGAACTTTAATCTGAAGATCCATGCAGCTGCATCTTTAACAGTTTCCAGACTGACATGTTAATTTAAAAAAATGAAATTTTAATTTCTTCATGTCCACACCCAAATCTTGTATGAATGCAAACATCTCCTAACTCTCAACTGTTAAAATTCTCATATTATTTCATGTTATTTTTATAGAATGCATGCACACCTGGGGTAAGATGCCTGTCAGCAGCACACAATTCATAGAAAATCATGTATATGAAGGACGTTATGTACAAAGTACACACAGTGCAAAATCAGTTTATTGAAAAATTGCAATTCTGTTTTACTCAAGCATTTGCTTCCATTTATTAGTCTAAACTTCCCCTTCATGCCAGGTTTGATTTTTATCAGTTACTGCACTGTCTTAAAAAGGTCTTGTAAAAACCTTCTCTAATGGCAAATCAAGACATAATACATTAGAATTTCCCACCCTACATAACTCTTGGGAAAACGCCTGTAACTGTCAACAAGCACAAAATAAAAGCAACCTAAATACACTATCTAATAAAACTGTATAACCATAAAGCTTTTCATTAAATCTCCGAACTTCTAATACTGATTTTCAGTGAGAACATTTGTTATAACATGTTTTAATGCGTTTTACTTTGCAAGCCAGAAAAAACACCATATATGATATCAGCCCTCAGTCTACTTCTGACTGCAGCAAGAAAAAACAAACCTCTGACTGCAGCAAGATAAAACAAACCTCTGACTGCTCTTTTAAGCTCCTGAGAAACACTACCACAAATCTTTTGGTGGCTCTCTCATAAGGATCATTGAGAACCTCATGCATTCATATTTATTTCCAACAAGTGAGTTGAGGTTAGACACACACACACTTATTTTTTAATTCAACGTTCATATTAGCTAATTTGGATTAGACTTATTTTATAAGTAATGGAAACATATTAAGGAAAAGGAAAAATCCTGCTTCTCATCACCTTGAAAGTAAAGCCCATTTTCTAGCTTTTCCCAATGAAAAAAGTTTGTTTGTGCTCAATGACAAAGAAATAAGAATTTAGAAATTTCCATACAAAACACAAATGAAATACACATCATAACTTGGTTTAGATCTAAAAGAAGTGGCAAACATTAAGTGACTATGCATATAATATCCATTAGCTCAAAAAGATTACCTGGTTTAATTATGGCATCATCTGTTACGTTAAACATTGAAACTTTCTGCTTCCGTGGTACTCCAGCCTCTTTAAAAATTTCCATTGCAGACTCTGATTTCTGTAACAAAGAACAGCCATGAAGAAGTAATCTTAAAATACCCAAGGATCAACCTCACACAGAAAGTGATTACAGACTGTCAACACCACTCAGAGAAAGAGTTATATCATACTGCACTTTTATCCTGAGACTAGCGTTTTAGCTCTATATAAAATTAATTTAAAACTTCTGCATCTGCATTTAATTTTCTGTCAACTTGTTGCACTACAGCCGAGAGATACATGAAGATTTCTAAGATCAGAAAAGGAAAAGCAATCATTTAGAATGTACATAAAATATAGTACTGCTTTTTCATGACTTTCAAAGAGTTTTGTAGCAATTTAAAAGCATTTTCTCTTTTTCAAAGCTTCTAATGACTTAGTTCCACACCACTGCAAACATAATTTATTTAAGTATCAAAGCCTGGTCTTGAGAAACTTCTGGAAATGCTTAACTTCCTATAGAAGAAAACCTAGAGTCTCTGATCAAAAAAGGAAAAATTCGGAATAACAAGTTCACAATTCATGCGTTTTTAAAATATACCAAGTACACTCAGTGTCAAACCACTGCTGACTTACTAAAGAAGGGCTCTTCTTTTCAGCGGAGTCTGACAAAATTAAAAGTACTTAAAATTGTTCTCAGCTGTTTTAAACAGGACAACTCACGTAACAGCTGACCGCTGAGATGATACCAAGTAATGGAAACAGTGACGCAGGAAAACTGTGGCCATAGGTAAAAAGCAACTTGGCTGATTTGTCTTCAAATGAATTCTCCTACAAAGCAATTTAAGCATCTGACAACACTGTCACACTTCAACGGTCACACCTCTGAGGCCCAATTCTCAAAAGTTCTGCACAATTCTCTCTCTCTCAAAAATAATTCTGTGTACTTTAAGACAAAATAATGTGAATACCTTTAAAATCATTACTTAGTTTATTTTGAAAATTTGCATGTTTCCCTTCCTTTTGTTTTTAACAAATCTGTTAAGTAGCATTAGGAGAACAGGAAGTTTTGTGAAGAATGAGGGAGCAAGATGATGAGTGTATCTGACTTGCACATAAACCAGAAATTTTAACTTTATAAATCTGTCCTTATTTGAGGATAAAGGGCAGATAGAAAGCCTCTGACAGTTAAGAGGGGTTTTGAGTGATTTCTTAACTTGAATTCAGAGTACAAAACACTTCAAATGTCTTTTAAAAAAATAATCATCAACTAAGTACAAAATCTTCCCTCAGACTACAAAAATTTGAGGCATCAATGGAGGACAACTGTATTAAATTGTAATACCATATGTAAGAATTAAAAACAAAGAAATCCCCTTTCTACTAAATGCCTGCATATTAATATTTTATTTCCACTGTTACATAAGACCGCTGACTTGGATGACAGCAAGGGGAGCTCTGTGCTCAGCACAGGTGCATGGAAAAAGCTACCACAGTTGAAGAAAAACACAGTGAAGTCAAAGGGTAGAAATCGCTTACATCTCAAGAGTCCTACTATAGCCTTGCACTCTTCCACTTCAACAAGTTTTCAGCAAACAGTCAAATCACAGAGGTCTATTTCTACAAACAAAACACTGCAGTCTTTACAAAGCCTTCCTAAAAAGCAATACTGAGTGAATTCGCAGATGTTCTTAGTTTTAAAAAGATCAGCAATATCTTCCAGTATCATAGGAAAATGATCTATATGTTCTCACCTAAGGAAAGCATATAAAAATATTTTTGACAAAAAAAAAAATTTTAAAACAGTAACAGAATTGTACTTTTGAGAATAATTTTGCATTAAAAAAAATCATGAAAAATCTGTTCACTTGCAATAGACTGACAAACATCAAGCTAAAAAGGAAAAAAAAAAATCTTGCTAAAAATGCGATACCCCTTATTTTTAAGCAATTTGACACCCAAAAGAAACACACATAACTCTTTCATCATTAGATGGAATTAATTAAAAATCAGTAGCTGTGAGGAAGACAGATGTTCCTATGAGGAATTAACAGAAGATAAACTGCTTATGCTAATACAATAGTGTCATTCAGTTTTCTTTTAATTATCACATTCAGACACTTCAAAGAGAAAAGAAACCCATAAAAATACTGATAAGCATAGGAGAACAATGATTCAAACCTGCAGGAAAACCACAGAAAGGTATCATTTGTTAGTACCTTAACAAGTAAAATTGTTCAGAATCTGCATGTCAAATTCTTAGTTTATAGAATGATGATAGCAACAACAACAGTACAAGGCTCAGTCTCAGGCCAGGATCTCACCACAGAGTTGTCTAAGGATATTTAATCAATTTATTTATTAAAATGAGTTTACATTTAACCAAATTAATAGGAGCTAACTTGGAAAAAATTCTGTCCAAGAGAACCATTAACGTAAGTCAAACTACTAAAAAATCCTTGAGTTGACTTTTTAGGTAGTTCTGCTTTGAAGAAATTTTCTCAGTTCACAAGAGCTATTTAAATAGAAGTTTTCTGTATTCCTCCTTGTGTCCTGCACATTTTTACCCTGACAACATATTCAATGACTATTAACACCATCTTTATGAAAAGTTCAATTGTAAAGAGTCTAATGTGCATAATCAACTTGAAAATTATTATTCACATGATTCTTGCATGTCTTAAATCAAGGTAACAGGAAAGAAAAAACACAGCTGTAATTTCTCCAGGAAGAATGTCACACATGGCAAGTGGAAATGGACTAAAGTGACAGGATAGATACCTGAAAACTAGAAGCAGTGATGGTGAAACATGGCCTAAACCCACTGAATAGAAGAAACACGTTAAAATATAATCTTGTTCAAAATCTGTAGAATATACTATAAAAGCCAACAGATTTACCAAATGAAAAAAGGTCCCTCTTCCTTCACCTCCACTAAAGCAAAAACAAATACAGATTCATTTTGAGGCTCTGGGACAACCTTGTATTCGAAAATGGGAAATATAAGTCCTCAAAACGCCATGATCACCAACTGAGATAATCTGCTTAGTAATCATGAGTCTTTTTTTTTTTTCCACTTGCCTAAAAATAAGTGTCAGGATACAGCAAGAAGTGAAAAGTGATTTTATAGAAATAATGGATCATAAAACCACAATCCTTTAAGGGAAAGCTTTGTTCCTGCCTTGATCTATAATTCAAATTTCCTCCTCAAGAATGACAGCTCTGCTAGACAACCTTAGCCATTGAAGGAGGTTGGGGATTCCACATCAGGCATTTGGGGTGTCTAAATAAGTGAGTGGTTGTGATATCATTGTTGATGAGCTATAATTATGAAGCTATCTTCCTGAAAACTTAGGTCTTCAACTTATTCATCAGTAAAACTATATGCAAATTAAACAATCTCAACAGACCTGTGGAAAAATTATAACTAAAGCTAATAAAACAGTATGAAAAAGTAAGCTAGAGAACAAAGTCTTCTAAAGAACTGATGAAGCTGGATAAGTTTACCACAGGCCATGAACACGGGTATCCTGCAGTCCTGGTCTTGTATCGCATCTCCACGGATGTGGTGAACAAACATGTTTCTACATTGCTAATGGCCCTTCGGACCCTTCCATCTGCCTGGGACACTGCACCTCAAAGTAACTTCCTAAACCCACAGCTTTCCTAGAGAATCAAGAGGCAAAACTTTCAAGAAGTTCTTCTTGTTATTCTCATAACCAAGAATTGACACTGGAGTTAGGAAATAAGTAAGGGTGGATGTGACAAAAAATCAGTTCCAGAACATGCATGTCTGTCAATTAATCAGTTAGAGAATTGTACCTGTGCTACTTTCATACTGTAATCACAACAAAAACAACCGTTCTAACAAAAAAACCCAAAGTGGTTCACTTACAAAAAAAGGAGATGCGTTTTTGCCTCCAACAAGTAGCTTAGATGTTTTTGCACCCGACTCTTCCTTTGAAATGTATCTTAAAACATGGCAGTCTTGCACCTTAAGTAAAGAAAAATAGTGTTTTGAGTATTAGCAGATGTGTACGCTTTGAGACCACAGTAAGAGATTAACAAAACAAGTGAAACAAGGCAAGTCATTTGTATCTATATAACAGGAGATACAGCTTACAAGTAGGGGAGTGTGTTACCTTTTTACCATAGACATTATTTTTCCAATCAATTAAAGGCTTATCTTAGAAAAAAAAATATTAGTAGAATGCAAACTATATTTTCATAAATGCGCCAGAAATTGAATAAACTTCTAGAGCCATCTTTTGCCTGCAAGATATGCAAAATCCCTACTGTATGCAGCAGCAAAGTATATAGTAAGAGCCAACATTTTAGACTCCTGCTCCTTTGCCCTGTAAACCCAACATCCTTCACAGCCCCTGTTGGCACATGGCAGCAACAGGTCAGTGAAACAGCTTCCTCACAGAAGTATCTGCCAGAGAATATGAAGCAGCAGCCTGAGGGCTGCAAAGGCTCAGTAATCAAGGTGAAACTAATTCCAAAGTGCCTGCAGGTGGCAAAAAACCAAAGTGAGGCAGGGTAGTTAACCCCAGCTTTCTGTTGCCTCCTGTCTCCCCTCACCTAAGTAATACTAAACACAGTTCTACAGCACTTGAATAACTGAGGCGAAGACAGACTGCTCTGAGAAAGCTTAGAATATAAACAGAGAGCAGGCAGAGCTGAAAAAAATCTTTCCTTTCTTTAGAGATTTCCCTACTCTGTACAAGCATTAAGTTTCACTTTTGCCTGAAACTTATAGCTCATGACCTGAATATGGCACAGGAGATGAAATTCATTATGATTTATTTCACCTTAAGTAGCGTGACAGCATGTTTTGTTCCTGACTTGGTCCATATTGGCATCATTCCCAGTTTCACTGCAACAACACCAACTCTGATGGAATCTGTAGATCAAAACAGAACATGGATGCAACTTCACGCTTAATATTTAAGAGTCCATCTCATAACTTGCAAAGTCCCATGCAAACTCAAACCTTTCCTAAGGAGTTGAGCAAAGAGAGAAAACAGCGCTGACTCCCTGCATGTAGGCTGGGAACAACCTGTTCGCTGTCTTTAATTTCATTAGCAGAAAAGTTCTATTTGTTTCAGTTGTGTTTGACAGAACATGCAAAACAGTTCCCCATTAAGTTCAGAACAACCAATGCTTCAGACTTTTTTTTTTTTAAATACAACAGTCACGTAGTCAGTTTCACTAGAGCCAAACTATGAGGCAACCTGTCAAGTCTGGCTTCTGACAACCCATGGTGTGAAAAAAAGAACGCTTAAGATGCGAGAATAAAAGCTTTAAAGTTTGAAAAATGCTCTTTGTTCCAGTTTCCACTGTCATACCCAAGGATATTGTCATGGATTTGCAGACTCTGCTGTTTGCTGTCAAATGATGTGACCCTTTGGAAGACTCAAAACCTTTATGCTGTCTTCTAGTCCGTAAGACATTAGATTTTCCTTTGGTTCATTAGGAAGAACCTTCTGGTTCTTCACTGAGAGGGTGGTTGGTCACTGAACAGGCTCCCCAGGGAAGTGGTCACGGCATCAAGCCTCTCACAAGTTCAAGGAGTGTCTAGACAATGCTCTTAGTCATACGGTTTAGGTAGTCCTGCAAAGAGCAGGGAGCTGGACTCAATGATCCTTATAGTTCCCCTCCAACTTGAGATATTCTATGAATCACTGAATAGAAATGGAGTGCATTATACACTTTGTTTTTTCTTCAATCCAGCAATATTTACAAGAACATTTTCAAGTTCCTATACTTTTATATCCTAGTGAGTCTTCTTCGATTAATTCATAATTTATTATCTTGTCATTGTGGAGCCAAGTTGATTTGGCTAAATGCTGATTTGGACTAAAATCTAAGTTTTAGGATTTAGTTGCAGTTTTAGTTAGTTGCAGCACTCTTAACATCTTGTAATATTTTAAATGCTTTTTAGAGAACTGACATACAACATTTACTTATTTACTAGGAGATGTGTTGGGATGACTGAGGTAAAAGCAAAAAGGAAAACAATTTACATGACACAATTCTGAGGTTACTGAATGCAACAACACAACAGCAATAATTCCAGCATGAGTTTGTTATTTCAGAAGAGATACTTTCTCACCTGGTTTCCACTCATTCAGTGGCCATGGCTCATCTTTCAGAGGGCAGAGCTTGCTTGCTGTCTGAGCCTTGTATTCCTCCGCAGTTATCTTCTTGAGGAACTCGACATTCTCTTCAGAAAGATGCTCATGCCACCACGTCGTATTGTTAACATGCCTGACTACAACGCCCAGCTGCCCCCTTTCCAGTGGTGGGAAAGAGTTTTAAGTGTCTTATCAGTTCAAATAATGTTACATAACATGTATGTTTGCAATGTAATACATACTACATATTTATATCACTACATTATACACATCATAAAGACCAAAATTATACTAGCAATCTATTCAACCACCATCACTAAAACAGGCCACCCCTGACCAACAGCACCTAAATACTTGTCATGCTCTCATCTAAATTTTAAAGTATTCTAAAATACACCAAAGTGGGGCAAGTAACAACAAATCAAACAACCACTCCTTCTAGGATAAAAAAAGCTAGATCTGTGAATGAAGAGATAGCAGTGGGTGTTGTTTACTTTAGTTTTAGCAAGGCTTTAAACACAATCTCCTGTGGCATCCTTCTGTCCAAGCTAAGATGTTATGGCGCAAATTGCAGGGGTATTAGATGGGGAAGAACCTGGCTGGATCATCAGGCTGAAACAGTCACGGTTAATGGTCTGCACTCTACCAGAACGCCAGTTACAAGTAGAGTTCATCAAGAGTCTATTCAGGGACTTGCCACGTTTAATATATTTATAAGTAATCTGTAAGAAGGCATCAGTTTGCCTTCTTATATTTGCAAATAAAACTGAAGGGAGCAGCTGATAATAATCAAGGTTGTCCCTCCACCAGTCAGAGGAACAGGCCAACAAGGAACCAGGTGCAACTCATAAAGGAGAGATGTAAAGTCCCACACCTGGGATGCAATAACCTCTTGCCAGGGTAAAGGCTGTGACTTCAGCAGAGCTGCTCCCTAACGAGGCAAAGCACCTGGGAGTTCTGTGGGGGCAAAAGGGTAAAAAAGGGGCCAGCAGGCTCCTGGCAGTAACGAAGGCTGACAGCAGCTGAGGCTGTATCAACAGAAGCACAGCTGGGAGATCAAGGGGAACAGTTATCATCCTTTCCTTAGCACTTCTGAATAGACCACATCTGCAACACTAAATTCAGTTTTGAGTTCCCAAAATAACAGGGATGTTTATATAGTACAGCAGTGGTACACAAAAATACTAAGGTGAGTGGGCTTATTTAGTCTGGAAAAGAGAAGGCCTAGGGCAGACCTGAGAGCAGCTAAGAAGGTTCCTGACCAGATAGAGCCAACCCATGTTTACCGAGGTGTATGCCAGGAGAAGGAGAGGACTGCTATAAACAGAAAAAGGGGTTTCTGATTTGACATGAGGAAAAATCATTCAGCCTGAGGACAGTCACACACTGGGCGGCCTCCGGCCCTGGAGGCTCTCAAGGCCCAACCTGCCAAAGCCCTGACCAACCTGGCTCACCTCAGAGCTGGCCACACCGTGAGCAGGTTTGACTAGAAACTTCCCGACCTTCCTGCCAGCCCCAACTCTCGGATTTCACATTCACTGCTAAACACCTCACTGTACCGCCACAATTTTCATGAGGGCTAAGAAAAGCCTGAATGTTCCTCAATCCTCTACAAGTACAATGAAACAGAGTGCTGAGCAATGGCTAGCAAATGCACGGGGCTCAGCGTAATCGCTGGCTAAGGTGACCCAAAACACAGTAGGTCAAGCGGCTTCACTATAAAGCAAAGGTGCTTTGGTTGCAAATATGCATCTCCTGCCGTAATTCTCGCGCAGGTTCGGACTGTTACTAAGGCCTAAGCCCCTCAGCGCTAAACCGGGGCCCTACCGCCTGTGCACATGAAAGCTTTCCGGGCGCCAACGGGCAGAGCCCTCTCCAAAGGGAGAGGCTCCGCTGAGGTAAAGGGGCGGCCGAGGCGTCCATCACTGCGGGGCTGCAAGAGGCCGGCTCCCCCTCTGACCCCGCTCTTCCCGGCCCTCTCCGCCCGCCGCCCCGCGACGCGCTCCTCCCCGCAGCAGCCCCTTCCCCAACGCCCCCAGCCCCTCCGCTACCTGTCGCTGGGAGCCCCCGCCGCCGCCAGCAGCGGCCTCCCCGGCGCCGCCGCCCACAGCCGGCGCCCCAGCCGGCCCAGCAGCCCCCAGCCCGCCATGCCGCGACCGTTAACGGAAGCGCCGCCGGCTTCCGGGGCGGCCGGGTCCGACGCTGAAAACCTCCCGTTGCTGCCTCGGAAAGAAGGTTCCGGACCGCCCTCCCAGCGGCGGGAGGGGGTTTCCTCCAAAGTTTTAACATAAAAACTCCCGAACGAACCCAAAGGCGTGGTCGTACGTCAGCCTTCCTCCCAACCCCGGCCCACGCGGGACGGGTTACCCCCCCACTGCCCGGCGGACGGTTGGGCGTCTCCGTGCCCGGGGCCAGCCCTAAGGCCCCGCAGGTCAGGGCTGCAGCAGAATCACAGAATCATCTAGGTTGGAAGAGACCCTCGGGATCATCGAGTCCAACCGTCTACCCTACTCTAAAGTTCTCCCCTACACCATATCCCCCAGCACCACATCTAAACGGTTCTTAAACACAGCCAGGGATGGTGACTCAACCACCTCCCTGGGTCTCGGATTTCACATTCACTGCTAAACACCTCACTGTACCGCCACAATTTTCATGAGGGCTAAGAAAAGCCTGAATGTTCCTCAATCCTCTACAAGTACAATGAAACAGAGTGCTGAGCAATGGCTAGCAAATGCACGGGGCTCAGCGTAATCGCTGGCTAAGGTGACCCAAAACACAGTAGGTCAAGCGGCTTCACTATAAAGCAAAGGTGCTTTGGTTGCAAATATGCATCTCCTGCCGTAATTCTCGCGCAGGTTCGGACTGTTACTAAGGCCTAAGCCCCTCAGCGCTAAACCGGGGCCCTACCGCCTGTGCACATGAAAGCTTTCCGGGCGCCAACGGGCAGAGCCCTCTCCAAAGGGAGAGGCTCCGCTGAGGTAAAGGGGCGGCCGAGGCGTCCATCACTGCGGGGCTGCAAGAGGCCGGCTCCCCCTCTGACCCCGCTCATCCCGGCCCTCTCCGCCCGCCGCCCCGCGACGCGCTCCTCCCCGCAGCAGCCCCTTCCCCAACGCCCCCAGCCCCTCCGCTACCTGTCGCTGGGAGCCCCCGCCGCCGCCAGCAGCGGCCTCCCCGGCGCCGCCGCCCACAGCCGGCGCCCCAGCCGGCCCAGCAGCCCCCAGCCCGCCATGCCGCGACCGTTAACGGAAGCGCCGCCGGCTTCCGGGGCGGCCGGGTCCGACGCTGAAAACCTCCCGTTGCTGCCTCGGAAAGAAGGTTCCGGACCGCCCTCCCAGCGGCGGGAGGGTGTTTCCTCCAAAGTTTTAACATAAAAACTCCCGAACGAACCCAAAGGCGTGGTCGTACGTCAGCCTTCCTCCCAACCCCGGCCCACGCGGGACGGGTTACCCCCCCACTGCCCGGCGGACGGTTGGGCGTCTCCGTGCCCGGGGCCAGCCCTAAGGCCCCGCAGGTCAGGGCTGCAGCAGAATCACAGAATCATCTAGGTTGGAAGAGACCCTCGGGATCATCGAGTCCAACCGTCTACCCTACTCTAAAGTTCTCCCCTACACCATATCCCCCAGCACCACATCTAAACGGTTCTTAAACACAGCCAGGGATGGTGACTCAACCACCTCCCTGGGCAGCCTGCCCGACCACTCTCTCTGTGAAGAATTGTTTCCTAATGTCCAGTCTAAACCTACCCTGGTGCAACTTGAAGCCATTACCCCTTGTCCTATCATCTGTAACTTGGGAGAAGAGACCGACCCCTGCTTCTCTACACCCTCCTTTCAGGTAGTTGTAGAGAGCGATAAGGTCTCCCCTCAGTCTCCTCTTCCTCTCCTTTCTTCGGCAGCAGCCGCGGCCGATGGGGCTTCTCTGACATGGGATAAAAGACCTCACCCAGGGTGGGCAGTGGGAGAGGACACGCAGAAACAGCCACGGGCAGCCCTTCCCCTCCACCCCGGCAGCACTGCCATCACCCCTGTGCTGCTGGGTGGGCCATGAGCTGGTGGAAGACAACAAACTCAGGCCTTGGGTCTCTTCTCACAAGACCCAGGAGATAGGACAGGAGGAAATGGCCTCAGGTTGCACCAGGGGAGGTTTAGATTGGATATTAGTCAAAATTTCTTCTCAGAAAAGGCTGTTAAGCATTGGAATGGGCTGCCCAGGGAAGTGCTTTGAATCGCCATCCCTTGGAGGTATTTAAAAGCTGGGCAGAGGTGGTGCTGAGGGACCCGGTTTAGTGGTGGTTTTAGCAGTGTTATATTGAGGGTTGGACTCAATGATCTTAAAGGTTCCTTCCAACCTAGACAATTCTATGATTCTATAAAATAAGGGTCAATAAGGGAAAGTGTCAGCAGCGGGTGAAGGTTATCTCTGGCAAGCATCACTTAGGCACACAGGGTCCAGGACCCTTGCATGGATTCAAAACCTCCCTCCTCTGTGCAGGTGTCAAGCAGACACCTGGGGATTTTGGGCAGAAGCCTCCTTGCTTTATCAAATGGCAAGGGATGGGAGGGAAAGGTTTGTGGCAGGTATTATATTTAATGTTGTAGCCAGTGGCGTTACTGGTAAAGTTAATGCAGGCGGGCCGGGCAGAGGATTTCTGAGCAGCTGGCACAGGGCTGGTACCTCTGCCTCTCTGGCTTCAGTGAGATCTGGCTTTTGTCTGTATACAGACACCATTTTTTCTGAGCAGGGCACCAGCACAGCTGACAGTGCGCTGCGGAGGACAGTGAATGGGTATGAACCCAAGACTCTCTTTTGGTTTCAACAGAAATATCTTTTTTAAAGATACGTGACTGCTCAGTGTGGCCAGCTGAAGCCCGTCATTGCTTCCCCTCTTTACCCTGCCTCTCTGTTTTCTTCTCCACTGTGTGTGTGTTGCACTCAAGGCTTGTGGCCAGCTAACCAGATCCAAGAGACGCTTGGTAGGCACCTCAGAGTGGGTAACAGTGAGCAGAATTTTGGTGTTCGCATCCAAAACTGTGATCCAGAAAACTACAAACAGTTTTCACACGCATAGACTCCTGTATTTTCTCTGTGGCAAATGGCACTTCTTGTAAATAAAGGGGAAAAAACAACCTGAGAAATGTAACCTCATCCTAGGGGTCCTCCAGCTTATCCTTCCCACTACAAAAAATGTTATTGTAAATACACTAATGCTTTGTGTCTGAAAAGCCCATGCTACTGAGGAGTAAAGGTAGTTTGTCTGGTACCTCTTGTGCTCTGGAAAGGTTGGAGACAAATTTGGATTTACATAGGCAGGCATGACCACAAGACCTGTTATCCCAGGTGAGAAAGGTCAATCTAAATAACCAGTTGGCTTCTTCCTGGGAGTAAGCGTGTCCTGTTTGTGCAGATTGAGGGCTGAGCTGAAAGAGACAGCTCTGTTTAACTCATCAGCAAAGATCTTACTGCAATACAACGATTGTGAGCAAAAGCCAAGGGATGTACCTGAGTGTTGCAAACCTGCAGGACTCTGCCATGCAAATCTGCTCGGAGCCAGGGCCTTCCACCAGTGCATTTTGGAATGTCACTTCTGCAACCTGCAGCAAGCTTTGGCCGGGACTGCTGTTCTTTATTGGACTCAGTGGGCCTCTGACGATCAAACTGTAAATATTTTGGCTGTCATCAGTTGTGTACCTTTGATATTTTAAAGTAATGCTACTATTATAATTTCATTTTCGTTTCATACCTGTACATTCTTTCATCAAATGCTATAGAACACTATATTGCTTACCATGGTAAGAACTTTACACAGGTAGGCTTTACCTTAGGGTAACAAGCAATTAGCAGTGTATTAGCACTTTTTAAAAAATTATTGTACACCATGTCTCCTACAAAACTAAAAATACAACTCAGCTTCGTATCTGGCTCAAGAACTATGGGTGTTAATTAGGGATCATGAATATCTTAGAGTATTCACAGACTGCGGTTTTGAATTGGATTTGAGAAACTGTAAAAAAGAAGACAGGATTGCAGTATGCAGAGAAGACATTTTAGATCATCAATTACCTCAAAAGGACAAGATATAATTTATTTTAAAGGAGTTTTCAGAATTTAAAATGATCCATCAAAAGGCAGCAGAACTTTAAATTTGCATAAAAAATCTCTGAGATAAATTGATGGTAGTTCAGCCTAAAGGCAGATGGCCTCGCTGAAACCCTTAGTAGATAAAACAAGAGAAAAAAAGTAATTTCAGAAATATATTCCTATACTTAATGATATTACCCTGCACAAAGCCCTTACTATCTTATTACACTGAGTAACTAGGAGCAATGAAAATAACATCCAAAGCCTCATTAGAAAGCTTTTACCATATGGCTAGTTTTTGTATTTTGTGAATTCTCCTACGCCAGCTCATCACGCTATTATGTGTTTGATTTATATGCTGGAATCTGTATAAATTGAAGGAGATTTCCCATCTATTTTTCAGTATCATGGAGGTGACTTTTCAAATACCTTGAGGGCTGCTACAGAATTGCAGAATTGTTACAGAATTACCACTGATAATGATTTGTTTTTAAGTAGACAATATTTATACTCTGCATTGTGTGAAGTGAAGAGAAAGATCTGCAGCAACTGTGATTCTCTTGAGACACTTATATGGATTACCTAGATATATGAAAATGACTAATAATTTATATAGCTCAGCACACAATAACCATTGAACCATCACATGTTGATAGCTGCATTTTACATGCTGCTACATAGAAGCACGTAATACCTTGTAGTACCATTACAGAAGCACAAATACCTTGTAACACCTCTGCTAATGAAGAGCTCTAACTGCCCAATTCCACATAAACATAAACACTTAAAAAATCAGTTTAGCCGAAGAACCAGAACAACAACTTATCTGATTCCTAATTTTTCTTGCTGAAAGCTTTCTTTTACTTTCCTTCAGTCTGGCAATAATAAAGAAAAGGCTTAACCCCTTCTCAGCTGTATATTACATCCCTAAATCTATCCCCAGAGTAAAGTAATACTCCTTCTGTGGCAAGAGCACCATCATGCCTCCGAGAATCTGAAATCACTTTTCAAGTCCCCAGGTACCAATTGTGAGATATTTGTGAATACATGGCAGTGACCTTCATTTTACAGATGAGGAATTTGAGGTCCGGAAAAGTTAAACAACTTCCCCAAGATTAAAAAATAAGATACTGGAGGAGAAAAGAACGTACAGTCATAGATTTTTCAGTCATGTGCTTTAACAGCTCGAAAATGTTCCTTCTGAGAATCGAGAAGGAAAGAAAGAAGGGGAGAAATGGGAATAAGAAACTAGAGATGTTTTAGATAAGAATTAAGATATGTTGGCATAGTGGTGTAGGAGATATAAGGGAAAATCACAGTAGCTTCCAGCTGAAATACATTCATAGAGGAAGAGATGTGCAGCCTGCTGGGGTAAGCTCTCAAATGAACAGCCAACCATTAAATAGAAATGTGGATTTGAGATCTTTTAGTCAGGACGCATTCAGACAATTTATACCTATGACCAAGTAATACTGGCTGCTGTTCAATCGTCGATCAGCTGAAGGAATCTTTACTAGCAAGCGTGAACGATTGCGCTGCAGGATATAGATGGAGCAGAACTGAATGTGCTGGTAAGACAGCCCCATGCACCCTGGCTCACCATTGCTTTCATTTTATGGTACAAAATCATCAATCAAAGCTGATCCCATGGAAGTCACTTCTAAAGGAGAATCAGGGAGCTAGAGTTCTACACTACCTGCAAACTCATTTAAAATGTATTTCTAACCCTAAATCCCCTTGTTCCCAGGTGAGATTTTCTAAAATATTCAGCACTGGCCCAAACCAGCCTCTTCTGGAACTTGCAACAATATTTTCAATTCAGTGGTAGCACAACTTGTCTGAAGTCATGCCCTTCAGACTATCCCACACAAATTATTTTCAGACAGATTTTATCCTTAACTTTTCCAACAAGTCCCATCTTCCACTACTGTCTTTTAGCAAATGAAGAAGCCAAAATTCAAACACTGAGAATAACAATGACCTAATTTTTTCATTTATATGCATAACATAAATATTTCAATGGAAATATCAACCTACTGCCAATCCGTTCTTGTCTATCCTCTTTTTAAAAAAAAAGGTGGCTTGAATATCCTTTTGGTACAATACCAGTTTTTCTATCACACAAGATCAAATGATCTGTGTGTGCACGAAGTTACAAATCACTGGTTG